ATTATGGTTTTATCTCATTAAAAATATATATATATACAAACTATTATGATACCGCGTCATATACAATTAATTACTTGAGACATTAAAATGGTAATTAGGTAATAAAATACCATATTAAAATTTGAATTTATCATTATTAATATTAAAGTAAAAATTATCAATTTAGTTTGATATGTAAATGATTTATGGCTATTAAATAAGAGATCAATGGAATGTTCGATTGGATGGTAAAAATCTTAAATACGAGCATTTCTTTCTTACGAGCTTGATGAGACATGAATAAAATTTGACTTAGCTAAATAGATTTGAGACACATGGTGTAAATAAAAAAAAATCAAATATTAGTGAAAATTTAAACTAATTTTTCTTTGCTAATCGGTAGTAAATATTTGAATGTAACGGATACATGGAATGCTGAATCGGAAGAAAATAGATTGGAAAAAAGAATAGGAACATAATGATTGACGAAACGGGAAGAACAAATGAGAATACGCCTAAAATGAAAGGAATCTTTCTTCGAAACGTTTCTGACAAGCATATCCTCTTCCTCTTGGTCTTGGAGATAGGAAAATGCCACGTCATCTGCCACAGTTAGGAGCAGGTAGGGCACGCGCCACTGATTTAAACTAATACACGCTCAAGCCCACTAATCTAATCCTTTCTTTGGCGACACGGAGAATCTAATAGGGCTGGGCTGGCTCTCATCCTATCCTTAGGGGACCCAAACGCACGCGCCTGCCGTAATTATTGAATTGAAAATAAAAAAATAACATAAAAATGTTTAATTTATCTTCAAAATTTAATTGTGATATATTATTTACTTCAAAATTAATTTTAATAAGTATTTTGAATCCAGAGACTAATTAATTTGACTTATTTTTATTAAAATAAGTGCATTAATTAGATTACTGACTTTTCTTATTATTTATTTCTGAATCAATCTAAAAATTAATTAAATTAGTCTCTTAATTGAAAATTTTCATTAAAATCAATCTAAAATCTCAATTTTTTAAAATGTAAAAAATTTAAGCAATAAATAAAAAAATTTTTATATTCTTCATTCAATTTATAATTACTTTTTTACTCATTAAGAGGTCAATAGACTAAAAAAATATTATGAGATATAAATGGTCGAAATGTCTCGAACATGATATCTTTAATTTTTCGTATAAATAAAATATCAATCAACCACAACTAATCGACTATGTTTAAGTGTCTAGCCTTTTCTTTAAGTATTTTTACATATGAAAAGTTTTATATACATATAATAATCATGCATGCTTTTAAAAAAAGGAAAAAAATAAAAAATTTTACAATTATAAATTTACGTGTAAGTAAATTATAAATTTGCAAATTTTAAACAGGGTCAAGTATAGGTTTTATCCTTCAAAAAGGAAAAAAAAAACAAAAATAAACTTTTATTTTACTATTTTCTCTTTATTTGTATTCCTTTTTTTTTTTTTTTCATTTTCTCTTTAATCCAAACACAAGTAAAGTGTACTGAAAAAGTCCAAACACCCAAGAATTTAAGTCTATTGAATATTCTTCGAATACTAAAAGAGTGCATGATTTCTTGGATTTGATTTTTGAAGTTTAAAATTAAAAAATAAAAAATAAAAGGGAATGAAACCATGTATGAAGCATGAAGTGAGAAAAACACAACTCTGAAACTAACTTTGTCTTGTTCGGACAAAAAAGAAAAAAATAAAAAGTTTGTCTTTTCATAGATAAAGATAATGTTAAAATTAGTCAATTTATTTCCAATCCTATTTGGTTATATTAATTTAAAAACACATAAAATTCTATTTTGTGACCTTACTTGTATATTTGTAATTTAATTAATAAAAAATTAAAATTATTTTTAAAAAAGTAGTGTGATTATTTTTTTTTATTTAACCGATTGAAAAATTAAAACTAGTTCTGTAAAATTGTAAATTTGGTCATGCAAAAGTAATTATTAAAATTTTATTAAAAAGAATAATTACTTTTAAAATTAATTAAAAGTAAAAGAACACCTCGAATTCAAAGAGCACAGGCTTTTTATATGTCCGTACGAAAGAGAAAGCCAAACGTGTTAATGCAAATAAGCCAATGATGGGCTTTCCCTCCATTTTCACGGATTCCTTCTCCCTGGCCCACTTTTTTCTTTTTTCCCTTTTTTTTTTATTATTAAAAACACAAGGGAAAAACTAGCGCCCGACGCTGCATCACAACCCTAGGGAATAATTACTGTTGAACGCGCCCTCTATGAGCGTGTATGCTCCTCTAATTGCCTGGCATTTTGAATATTTATAATCTTATAATTTTAAATATAAACAGGTCAAAATTAATTTAGTAAAGACTATACGGAGAAGAACTGTATTTCCTTTGATTGATTTTCTTTCTTTTATATGAATTGAGAAATTCAGATTTTATTTTTATTTAATTCATTTAATATGTGGATGAAATTATATTTAAAGAGTTTTATTTCAGTATCATTCTCATTTTCAATGTAAAAACATGCATTTAAAATAAAATTTTAAATCTAAATAATTAAGCAATAATATTTCCTCTGTCTCAAAATATAAGTCGTTTTGAGTATTTTAAGAAATAATGTATGGTGTTTTTTCAATGTTATCCTTATTTATATTAGATACAATAAATACTTTTACAAATAACTATTGATTTTGAAATAAAGAATAATTTAGTCAAATTACCTTTAATTTTTTTATAACATAGGAGAATCAATTGTTTTTTTAACCATTGTACAAGAAATTTAAATGATTTATTTTTTGAGATAGACAGGATAATTTATAGTATTTGGTTATATGTTAGTGTTTAGAGTTTGAGAAAATAAATTATGAAATGTTATTCCGTTTAACAGTTGTTAACGGCTGCTAAAATAATTAATTATTTTGAATAAATTTAAATAATATAATTTTATTTTCTACGTAGATTGGAGGAATCTATTTATTTTACAATAATATTGTGGCAGAGATAACATAGGAGTATTAGTAAAGCAACTTATTTCGTGTATTTATCTATGTACATAATTTTAAAAAGTAAAACCCACGCACGTGAGCAAATGGCTTTGGTTAATTTGTCTACGAGCCTCCATTTATTTCCGTAAAATAACTTGTTGAAAAATATTTTTTAAATGATTTATTTTTCATTATTTGGTTGTAATATTGAAGATTATTTAAAATTATTAAAGTTTTTATCTCATAGAACCATAAAAATATTAAAAATAATAGAAGATTTATAATTTAAAAATTTTATTATTAAATATGAAAAGAATGTAAAAAAAATTTAAATTATAAAAGCCGCTAGTGGCCGGTGGTGGTGGTTGGTGGTAGATGGTGCCGGTGGTAGTGACTATAATGATTAATAAATTAAAAAATATAGATTTATAAGATTTGCTAAAAATGAGAAGTTTTTTTTCTTAAAAATTGACTTAATTTTCCTTTGACCAAAAAATATTTTCCGTTGACTTATTTTTCTGAGCGCCCCAAATAACGAAAAATTATGAAAAATATTTTCCTATAAATTATTTTACGGAAATAAACGGATCCTAAATTTCTTCGCTAATCCCCATTTAGACAACATAGTGCCCATTTCCATCAAATGGGCATGAGATTAACAATAACAAATTAGTTTTTTTTTTCTTATTTTTACTTTAAAAAAAAATTAGTATTTGATAAAAACTAAAACTCTGTTGAACTTAAATTACAAAACTACAAAATACTTGTCTTGTTCGATGCAAACTATATTTATTTTAATTGAATATTAATATAAAACTCATAAATGTTGAAAATTTTAATTTTAGATACTAAAATACTGTCTAAATTAAGAGTTTAAAAGTCTCATATATCATATAATTAATTATTCATACTTTTCTATTTAATTACTAAAAGAATGTTATAGTATTTTTATGCTTATACAATAAACAAGTAAATAATTTTTTTTTTTTTTGGAGAGTAGGTTAAAAATTAAATAATTATTTAAAGTATAAATACGGAATATGGGTATTCCCTTTCAAATTACGCATGATACAAAAAACGAATCACATGAACCCTTGGCCGCCTAACCAACGGATAGTTTGCCTTTGCCAAATGGTAAAAGAAAGGAATAATATTTTCTGACAATGGCGTGAAAAGAAAGAAACAGGTGGCTGCTTAACAAACAACATGTCGTTCATGCACTCGGCAACGTTTTCGGTTTTCCGTCGAGTGAAATTCAACATACGGCACATCCACACGTGAGCAACTGCACGTGGTTTCTGTTTTTTTCACTAATCCCTATTTTCACATATTAGTAGTATATTTATTTACAGTGGCCAATGGGTTGTTTTCTAAAGAAAACAGAATGGTTCAATTTCAATGCATATCACCGCCATTTGCTTATCCAATCATCTCAATCAAATAAAAATTACAATTAATATCTCTCAAACTCTCTTAAATTGAATCAAAATTATCGTTTTTTTCAAAAAAACTTGCCTGGTATTATTTATGATTTTATGATATTAGCACGGATTTGCCTAGGAATATGAATAAAAGGAAATAAAAATAATATATATATATATATATACGAAATTGATTAAACAATTCAGATTAAACTATATTGATGGACAATAATAAAAAAATAAAATAAAACAATGGGAGATTTTCTAAAAAGCTTATATTCAATATTCTAATTGAAGGAGAAAAAAACCAAAAAAAAAAAAAAGGATTGATGACATTTCATTCAGATTTTAGTATACAGGCCCAAATTTCAGTTGAGCAAGGGTCCAAAACACACTCAATAGGAAATAGAAATCAGTCTCCAGACTTCAGTTGCTGCCAACTTCAAATTTTACAGACTTTCAATTTTAAAAGAAATAAAAAAAATAAAATAAAAGAAAAGCTGTAGATTTGTTTGCCATTCACCATCAATGAGCGCCTAACATTAGCACTCTGAGACACAAACACACACACACACACACACACACATATATAAATTTCAATACAGAACTTTTATGATTCAAAAGACTTACCAGTTGAGGTGCATATAATATAATAAATACAAAATGTTCCATCAAAATTTTTGTATCCAAGTGCTTTTACATATGTATGCAAATACCTTATAATAAATTTAGTATCTAAAAACAAAAGCATATTTCCAAAGTAAAAATATTCTGTACCTTTTGAGTGTTTAATCCCATAAATGCAACACACTGAAACTGCACCTTGAAACTAAGGGAAACTCAAAACCCACCTTATTACATATGAAGAAGAAGAAGAAAATAATGGAAGTCAGAAGAAATTCAAAATTAATATATATGGGAGGGGTTTTCATTTATCACCCCTTTTTCAATTTTTTTTTTCTGAGAAATTCTGCGTCCGAGATTAGAGTCGATACTGGGGAATTTTGAAGCATGTTATATCAGCACTTATTTCCATATCTTCACGCATTTATCATGACTTGCAGAGGCTACCATCCCGGTAAGCGGTGATTGTGCCAAAGCTGATATCACACACTCGTGAGCAGGAATTGTCATACATTTGTTTTCAGCCATGTTCCAGAGTTCCAGTGACTTGATGAGAATAACAGGCAAAGGGATAAGGCAGGAAAAGAAATATAAAACCAATATTAGCACTCTATATAATTTGTAAAAGATTCAAACTACCATTCTAAAAATTTCCATCAATGGTATTCTGCGTATGGTCAAAGCAAAAAAGTTGTTCTTTGTTTCCCAAATGCAAGCACAAACTTTCCTATAAATCAAAAGTCACTACAAAAATTGTCATAGTTAAAATGAAATGAAATCGCTTTATCCTGGGATGGCCTTACAAGTGCAATAATGTTGATCCATTTAAAAGATTGAAAAGAAAAATATTACCTGATAGCCCCCAATGACCAAGAGAGTGGAGTAACTTGGATGGAAAACACAAGAATGGAACTTGTTCCCACTGGAACTCAGTTCGTGAATGCACTCTCCTGAGGCCAATGACCACACTCGGACAGACTCTTGACTGACGGATGCCAAGTAATCTCCATTTACATCCCAACAAACAGAGTGTACCTCAGTGGGGTGACCCTGAGAATACATTAACAGGTTACTTCGTTAAGAACGTAAGAAAGAGAATCTTAACTTCCTGCTTCCTTTTGATTTTCAAATTTAAGACCGATACCTGTAACGAGTGTGTCTGTCTATCTGCCTCAACATCAAAGATGGACACAGTATTCTCTGCTGCTGCAGCCAGTAGATGTCCAATCCTTGGCTGAAATCTAACCTGTGCGGTACCCCCCTGCTCCACCAAACGATTGGGATTTAGAATGAAAGGAGAATTCAAATTCATTAGGAACTAAAGAATATGACAACATAAAGGTCAAAGAAGAGTATCAAGGCTAGCCTTGGATATACGGGTGGAAGAATACTGATTGATATTCCAGAAGCGTATCTCATTGTTACCATCGCAAGAACAGAAAAGATCATTCTTCTTTGGGTGGAAGTCTAGAGACATCACATGTGAGGCATGCCCGGCATATGTCTGCAAGGAATATCTTGGCTGCAAGAATAATAGTAAGTTGCATTTAGAGCCTGTTTTATGTGGACAAAAAATGCAACTAATTCTGGTGTTTAAACACAACATAATTGACAATAACTGCTTTCAGATCTTTCAAATGCAACAAAAGATCTTGTATTGTTTTATAAATTCAGCATATTATAGGATATACAGCATTTAAAGGGTTTAAACATAAAGAAAAACTTAATAAGAAAAAAAAAAAAAAGCTTGTGCATGATACATAACCAACAGGAAGTGAAATAGAAATTCTACATGATAAAAGACAACCTCTAGAATCTAAATTGAGTTATATCTAGGCAGTAAGACATAACGTGAATAATCATATTCTGCCACTTATATTTGTCAAACCATCATAAATCCAAATAATCTACAGGATAAATAGAGATATAATTTCAGAAAAATACTTAGCATCATACTTAAAATATCTCGGTTGACTCCATGAAACAATTTAATGCTCTACAAGTACACTAAATATAACTTACATTTAAAAAAAAGGCGAGACAAATGTCGTCAAAACAACATTCTGTAAGACATTTTAGATAACTAGATGCGATAACATAATTTTTGCGTGGGAGAAAACTGCTCAGGACTAAGCAAAAACACAGAAGTTAGGAAAGAAAATGCAAATAATAAATTGAAGGCTCCCACATAATATGTCTTGCATCTGCAGCTTGTAAAGATAGAAAGATGAATGACTATTCCATAGGCAGGCAATAGAGATGGAAAATTTACTTCTGCAGCATTCCAGAGTCGAATGCTTGTATCAAATGAAGATGTTGCCAGCTGAGTTGTATTTGGTCTGAAACGAACATCTGTAATTATGTGGTTGTGTTCTTCAGGAGTGCATTCAGTTTGCAGAGTTTCCATGTTCCAAATAACAACCTACTGACATTAAAACATATGCATCCACATCATCTCATATTCAAATACATGTCACGTTTTTCAGTTTTACAAGTCAAGTATCTTCAATTCACTCTAACTTTTAAAGTACCACAACAGCAAATTCAAAAGTTGATCAGTTAATTGGAGCAGTTAAAGTACCTAAAGCTCTTAAGTTGGTAAATAATTGATAAGTAATGACATAAATTACATTGTCTGCACTTCATATTCTACTCAATTATGCTGTAGTATGTGGAAATTGGTTTTACAAGCAACTTGGATTATCTATTTAAGCAGCTGAGTGTGACTAGAGCAAACAAAAAGCAGTCGATCTAACAAAATAAATGGATAACGATAATAGCATCAAAAGATACTACTCCGAATGTTTACATTAATTATTGGAAGGCCGCTATGAACTCCTACGTCTCTCCACATAGCAGAGCTTCTTATTCAATCTACAACATACATTTCAAATTGATGGAAGCAATTTTACCAAATTCAGTATAATTTTCAACATAAAATTAATTCCTTGTCAATCCATAATACCTTCTTGTCATGTCCAGCACTGGCCAACAACTTTCCATCTGTAGAGAAATGACAGCAAACAACTTTTCCATTGCTTTTACGTATAGAACCAACTTCATTGAAGGAGAAACCTGAGATGGAGGGAACATGGACATTATTATGGTCATATTTGAACAAGAAGTACATTGGAAGAAGACTGAAATACAGCTAACCCTTGGAAGCTTCTGCAGCATGTTCAGAAGTATTCCTTTTCAATGTGCTAAACAAATCCCTTCCATCTCCATCATCATGTGAGAGAAAAGATTCAACATTATCATCCAAGGAGCCAACATCTCCAAAATGTTCAATGTCTTCCTGCATTCAGATACAAAATTAGAAGCTGACATTAAAACTGACTTATGAAGAGGAAACTTGGGTGGTAATTCTGAGGGGTATTTAATGTAAGTACGATGGTAAAAGCACACTGGGACTTGATGCATTAATATATCAATCCAGGCTACACCCAGTTTCAGGTCCATCAGACAATCACTGTTATTAGCAAGCCAATGGTTCGAAGCAATGGGGATACAAGCACCTTATTGATAACACAATACCATTTTCAATAGAAGGCTAACCATATATTGGTCTCTTGATAAATCATAAGAAAAAAAATTTTCGAAAATAACTTTGAAAGAGAAAGCTTGAAGAATTGTACTTAGAAATTTCAATTTTTAGATGATTGTCCAGCTTCATTAGTCAATAAACTTTCAAGTCCTATTGACTACCTTTAGTTCAAGCTATCTACAAAGGAACATAATTCTGTGAGTACTAAAGCTTCAATTATATAAGCTGGCATAAGCAGACATTGGGATCTTTTGGGGTTCTAAGCTGTGCAGATTGCAAATACCCACTTCAAATCTTTAGGTCAGGAGTATATACCAGCTGATTTGTTGATGATGCAAGAGCTCCTGTTCCATCAGCACCGTACATCATCATGCCTTTCGACATGCTATTGACATGCTGTAAATTGCCAGCTGTGGAAATTCCATCACCAGGAGTATGAGTTGACGGAGTTGATGGCTGAGAATTAGGAGAAGGGCCCACAGTGTTTCCTGTACCAGTACTATTAGCAGGTCCAGAAGATGAAGGACCTTTCCTTTTCCGATTATTCTGTTAGATCATAAACAAGCAAGCATCAATAACTAATTTTCTAATAGACTCAAAAAAGAGATCTTGTCACCAATAGTTAATGCAGAAGTTCTTAGATATGTGCAGCAAGAAAGCAAAAGCATGAAAACTTCAAGTAACTTGGAAAGTTCTTATGAAAAAAAAAAGGGGTCCATGTCTTTGTGTAAATTTAAGTGGACAGAACCTGCACTTGCTGCGATTGCAAAGGATCTGGTTGTTGAGAGGATGATTGTTGCATCTGTGGCACATTCATCTGCTTTTTTTTTTTTTTAAAAAAAAAAAAGTACCATGAGCAATTGAGCACTTAACTCAAATAACTCAATTTATAATCTGATAGAGGAATCATAAAGACTATGACATTTCCAATGGTTTCAAGAAGAAAGTCTTACCTTGGATGAAGTTGATTGCATTGGAGAACCAATAGATCCATCATTTCCATTTGGTTGGCCATCTTTGGCTTGCAATGCACCTCTTGGCAATCCCCTAAACTTTCGTGGATCCATATCCCCATAGATTGGTGAATTAGCAAGGTTGCCTTGTGCTTGAACCTGAGCCAAGTACTGTTGCTGTTGCTGCGGCAAAAGCTGAAATTGACTTCCACCTAAAAGAGGCCTCTGAACTTGGGCTCCCAAACTTGGTCTAATTTGATCAATCCCCTGTACAATAACATAACACCCTTGGTTATGAAAAAAAAAAAAAAAAGAATATTCAGAGATAAATGAGTTTGAACTTAAAACTTACAGTTAAGGGCCACCCTTTTAATGGAAGACTGCCAACTCCAGGGCTCATTCCTGAAAAATTAAGGAACAAAAATTGAATTGGAAAAGGTAATGGAGAAAAAATTCCAGGTATTGCAAATCAAGAAACGACAACTGCTCCAATCTGCGTATGATGTTCGTGAAGCAACCTTACTCATTAAGTAAGTAGAAAACAAAATTAGGAGCCAGCCTCTAAACCATTCTCTAAGGCATATTTGAGCAACTTCTTGTTTTCTTCTCAGATCTGCAAGCACACACAACTTCTTTCTTCTGTATAAATTATAAAACAATAAAATCTCAAACCAACGTTTCTGTTACACTGCAATCAACCCAACAAATTCTCCTTTTACTCTCTTTCCCCTTCTGTATGTCTCTACTCTCTCACCATTTCAATCACATTTATCATTATTATTCCCAAAATCAGATCCATATTTTGATTTTGCTATCCTTATCAGATCTCTTCCTAATTCTGCCCTACTGTCTCGAACCTTGTCATTCCAACTCTCTTCCAAAACCAACAAAAGCAAGTGTATCCATCACACAAGCAAAGTGGAGTGGGAGAACCCACCTGGATTCAATAAAACCATTAGGTAAAACCAGTATTTAGTGATCCAGATGGTTCATCAGGATTGACTGCAAACAGGCCTATTAGGCAATTCAGTCTAGTTGGCAGGGAGGCCAAGTATCTGACCAACCTGGCCAGTTCTAAGTTTAATAACCACACTTCCAAGCTTTGCCTATAAAATAAGGAAATATAACAAGTATTATTTTGGGAATCAGGATCAGCACTTTGACGTGACTAATAAAAAATTAGGCAGACAAAGTTATGTGCAAGTATGAGAGGTACGAACTTCATCTCTCTTCAGTGTTCTCCCCCAAATCCCACAAACCCTCTCTTTTAAAGTGACTCAGCAAATCTATAATCTCCATCAAACATAAAGCTTCTTACCATTTTCTACTTTTACTAGGAGTGGAAGCGATATTGGAAATCCCATCATTGAGAGACCTAGTTTTCATATATTGCATATATTGTGTTTTCTCAATTCAACACAAGTACGAAGGAGCAAACTGCCATGTCCTTGTATTGTAATCCTAGAGCAGTAGGTGTTGGGACAATATCCCTTGTTTATTTATAAGTCTGAAATAAGTGTAGAACAGATAGAATCCATATTCCACATTACAGTATTGATTAGTTTAGCGAAGTAAAAATGAAGAACACCAAGATCTTAGTCAAGTGAGATGTAGCCTCTAAACATGGTTGAACAATTATGATGAGTTAATGGATTAATGGTTGAAAACCAAGCAAGCAGAGAGTAGGAATAGGAGTGCAAGTCACTTTACTCAATGTTTCTTTATAACAGCCTTTGTGCATATCCTCATTTTAAATTTTTATTCTTCAGTTAAGGACCATGTATTTACCAGTATTTCCTGTTCCAGGTTTGGACTGCATGATTCCGTGCCCATAAATTGAAGATGCGTCTGTAGGCAAAGATCTCTGAGCTGTACCCAAGTTCACTTCACTTTTGATGTCCTGCAGATACAAATCAATTACCAATCATATAAAGAAGCAAAAGTAAGCAGGATGTGAAAAGTAGCAGTAAATGAATGAATATCTTGTCCAAGTAGTTACGGTAGTCTGTTGAGTTTGTGCCTGGATTTGCTGCAGTGCTGCAGAAATGCTCCCAGAATTTCCTTGGACCAACTGGCTGTGTCAGTACGAAAAAAGTTAGCCCGCACGAAAGCAAGGGACAGAATTGTTGATAAAGTTCATGATCAAACTAACCCAGGATGATTGGTTGCTGGTTTTAGTAGACACATCCTAGCATCAAGCAGTGGCTGTGATGTTTCAGAATCCATTGGATTAGAATGTTTCAGGCGGTCCTCATACATTTTTGCTGCCATTGCACTAGCATTTGGTTGCCCAAGCATTCCTTCAGAACCAATAGCATTTACTGGACTGCCCAGAGTTGGATTATTAGGACCTCCACGTTGCAACTGAGCTTGACGCATCAGCTGCAAATGATGCAATTGCAGCTGATGTTGCTCCTTTACTTTGATTTGTTGTGCCTATATGTCAAGATCAGAACAGAGCTAAATAAATAAAAAAAACAGAGTTAACATAATATAAATGATCAGAAAAAATGCAACAGAAAAATCAGATGACACCTCTATATATGCTGCAGCAGCTTCTGAATGCTTCTCGTTTGTCCTCGCAATAAAAATATCCCAGAAGACAGACCACCATTCGAATAGGAATCCTCCAGGAGCATCAATTGCTACATTCAATAGCAAATTTGTATACAATACTCATCTAAAGGCTCTCTCTCAAAATTCTCAAATACATTTACACACTATTAAATTTAGCCATACAATACTCATCAAATTTAGCCAACTAAAGCCAAACCATATTAAAAAAGAGAATCCAATTTTCAAATTTCATTCAGAAGCAAAGTTACTGTTGTCAATTAATCAAGTCAATAATTTTAAAATCATGTTATTGTTTGGATATCAAATATGTCATAAACTACTTTCCTGTAAGATGTCTCAGAAAGTGAGTAAAACTAACATTCTCCAAATGTTTAATTTACCAACCGGATTCTGTTCAAAAAAGAAAAAAATCTGATCAAAAGAAAATTTACCTACTGGATCTGGGGCTACTTTCCCTTCAGTCATAAAAGACTTTGCAGTGGCATGCAATTTCTTCTTCACCAAATAATCATATATGTACACATCAAGCCTGCACACGAATCAAAAACAACAAAATTGAACACTTCCCCATTACAAATAAATAAGATTAGAACAAGCACAACATAAAAAACAAAAAGAAGCATAACATACATTTTATCTGCTTCCCAATTACTCTGTGCCATGGGTGCGGCTCAAGAACACAAAACACAGCTGCTCAAAACCCCCAAAAAATAAAAGGGAATTATAAATCGATTTCGAAAATCATAAATTCAACTCAATCAGAATCAAGCTCAAATTCAAATTCAAATGCACTAAATTCAAATTCAATTACACTGTTAGAGCAAGCTACATTCATTAGAAAGGATAATTACTAATTAAAGTAACACAAACCTTTTATTTTGATAATTGAGCTGGATCAAAATGTCTGCATTACCAATCGTGGACTCTGTGCAATAGCGATCTCTATTAATCACAGCATTGTATCTGAATTTACCAGGAAATTAATAATAATAAATAATAAATAATCCAACAAGTATCCAAATTAATAATCTGAAAATTAACGCAATAATCCCTGATTACGATCCATAAACACTAGAATCTGTAGCTCAAACTTTGACAATATATACCTGGTAAAACGCAGACTTCGCGATTAGTGAACTACAAGGAATTGTTTTTTAAAAAAACAGAGGAAAAGAAAGAAGGGAGTTTGAACTGGACCCGAAGCTGAGGTTCGGAATTGGAAGCTGAAGGGTTTCTTCTTTCGTTGCGAATAGTAGGCAATCCGCAAAGATGAAAGGAAGGACAGGCTTGGTATTTCCCGTAGTAAAGAATCGTCGGGTGTGCATGGATTATGACGTGGACGAACCCGAATAAAGAATGTGGCACGTCATGTGGGCTTAAATTAAACCTACGTATAGGCGAGTTGAACTCACTCACTACGAGACCTTGGACTCGGCCATTTGGGCTTTTATTGTTTCGCACTTTCGCTACGAACAACAAAATCAATTCCCTTAAAAAAAAAAAAAATACAAAATTAAACTATTTCCTAACATCAAAAATATTTTTTATAAATTTGATTTTTTTTTTGAAAATTCATAAAATTTACTTTTTTAGGATAGGAAAAATGCACTTGTTACAATATGTAATTTACAAATATTAAATATTAAATTTTCATTTGGCAAGCTTTTATTAGCTAAAAAAATTTACTAAATTTTTAATATTAATATTATAAATTTAGTAATATCCAAAATTTAATATTTATATTTATTTATTATCTATATTATAGTACATTTCAAAATTTTTATTTTGTATATTTCTTTTAAAATTTAATATTGAATATTTAAACTTATTATTCTTTTTATATTGCTATTTTGTTTCAATTTTAATTATATCTACTGAATTTTAAATCTCTAAAAACACTGTATTTTTCAACCCACTAAATTAGAAACTAAGAATTTTAGTTTGTCATGTTTATTTTAAAAACCTCGAATTGTCCCCATCATTTTTTTTTTATTTTTTTCTCTTTCTACCCAAATTATATATTTTTAAAAATTTAATTTAATCAAAATTAATTATCACTAATACAAAATACTCTATGTTATTTTGATGACTAACTTTTCCCATAATTTATTATACATTTTTCTTATACTGAGAACCTAATTAAACAAATAGTAATTCAATTAAAATTTAGAAACTAAATAGTTAATTTTTTTTGTTAATTGTAATTATATATGAGTAATTTAAGTTTAGAACTTGTCACAGCAAGTGTTGATAGGTTCATTTTTCTATATCTCAATCTCCGTTTGTTTTCCTAAAATGACTCATAGGAAAATATTTTCCACAATTTCCGTTATTTAGGGTGTTTAGGAAAATAAGTTAATGGAAAATATTTTTTTGATCAAAGAAAAATTAAGTCATTTTTTAAGGAAAATAATTTCTCATTTTCGAGAGAGAAAAATATTTTTCGAAAATTGACAAACTTTATAGATCTATATTTTTAATTTATTAATCATTATAATCACTACCACCGGTCATCATTTATCACTAACTACTACCACTAGCTACCACCACCAGTCAACGATGGATTTCATAATATATATATAATAATTTCTCATTTTCGAGAGAGAAAAATATTTCGAAAATATTGACAAACTTATAATCTATATTTTTAATTTATTAATCAATTATAATCACTACCACCGGTCAATCATTTATCAGCGTAACTACTAGCCACTAAGCTACCACCACCAGGTCACGATGGATTTCATAATATAATATATATACTATATATATTTTTTTTTCATTATTTTCATATTACAATAAACATTTTTAATATAAAATTTCTATTAATATTATATATTTTTTATTATTTTACGAGATAAGATTTTTAAATATTTTTATTTAAATTAATTTTTAAAGTATTACAATCAACAAAAATTTCTATTAATATTAATATTTTTTATTATTTTACGAGATAAGATTTTAATATTTTTAATTAATTTTTAATATTACAATCAAACAATAAAAAATAATTTATTTAAAAATATTTTTAAGCAAATTATTTTACTGAAAATTTTTTTAATTGAATAAACTGATTGTTACGTACATGGGTCATGTGTTCACGTGCATGAATCTTATCATAGAGTCTGCCATTGCAGTTGCTTAATTGGTACTACTTGGTTCTTGCTCATGCGTTGCACTACAGAACGGGCCTGCCACTGCTGCAAATTTCAAGAGAGAAGACCACAAATAAATGGCGACAGTTTGTTAACCTCGGTTTCGTAAATTGTTTTTTTTTTCCCCATATATTTGATGTAAACCAATTTCTTTTTGAACTGTAGAGCTTAAATTTTTTTTTTTTTTTTTATCATCTTCCTTATATCAAAATTATGTTTTCATTTTTTACAAGAGTAAAAATTTATTTACCGCCACAATAAATATATATGCTGGTGTTTTTAATTCCTTTTATATATATCCTGACAAGGTAATGTAAAATGAGTAATACATAGAATTGGAAATGTAGAAATAATAAAATCCAAAAGGTCGATTATAATTATTGAAAATGACATGGATGGGTCATTTTCTCCATCTTAAATGCCCTAATTAATTACCCTCCTCTTTTTTTTTTTTTAACTGCCACAAAATAGTGTTTATGGTACATTTTGCATTCACGAGGGTTCGCGTAAATTATACGTTGAGATGATAACGAAACAGCTAGTGTGCCCATTGCATTGAAGATGGAGATTAACTAATTAATTTTGATATTAGTGACTTCTTAAAAATATTTATGATTTATATAATATTAGAATATATTGATCTTACAAAAGAATTTGTTTAGTAAATTTGAAAATAATGAATGAGGAGGATATAATTGTCTAAAAAAAATAATAATAAAAACAATAACAACAATAGATAATTTTTTAACTATAATTATAATTGACTGATTTTATAAAAATTAATATACACCTAACACAGCTATAGTGTTTTTCTTATAATTAAAATTATTATTTGTATAATAAATAAATATTCTGACAATTGAATAATCTTTTTTAGCATTAAATTGTCCACTCTTGGAACAAAATAATTACTCAACCAATTAATATATTTTTATACTAATATCAACCTTTAAATTAAAAAATGAATGCCAATTGGTCTGGTTGGTGGAGAGTAACACATCGAGTTCAAAATTATACATTCAAAATTAATTTTTAGTAAATTCTCAACCTTTCATTTAGAAAAAGAAATTATATCGAAATCTTTATTTTTGGATAGCTAATTTGGGGCTACATGGATGGGCATGCAACAGAGATATACACAAGCATCCATCATTGAATGGAAAGCTAAGCCTTTTTAAAACTTTCAACCTCATCTGCAACTGCAAATTGGCAAACTCAATGATCAACTTTTACGAGTTGACTCCATCTTTTGAAAAAGAAATTTATTGAAGAAACCCCAAAAGTCAAAAACCCTAATCTTCCGAAAGCATCATCATCATATAAGTTCATAACAATGCCTTCAATGCAAGAACCTGTGAGCCTGTTGACAGGTTGGACCAATAAATTTCTTGTCCATTGGCAGATGAGCCTCATTTACTCATGCAGATATGACAGTTGAGTCGATTTTCAGTGACTTATAGGAGAAATATGTTCTAAGCTATTTCTCAGCTTATAAATATGTGTCCTACACTCTTATTACACCACTGCTCAGTTAGCTTTGCTTGCTAGCTATAGATTGTTTAAGCAAGCAATGGGTACTGCCATTAATCATATTTGTGTTTTGGGAGCTATCTTGTTGTGTCATTTCCTTGTGAGTGCTGTTTTTGTATTGGCTGATCGTGTTAATGTTGATGATAAGGATGATAAGCATTTGCTGTTTCATCGCCCTTTGTTGGGAGGAGGTTTAGGTCATGGCATTTATAAGAAGGGTTTTAAACATGGTGGTCTCGGTGGTGGTATAGGAGGTGGAGCAGGTGGTGGGTTTGGAGGTGGTGCAGGAGGTGGTTTTGGTGGTGGAGCTGGGGGTGGTTTTGGTGGTGGAGCTGGTGGCGGGCTAGGTGGAGGTGGGGGTCTTGGTGGTGGTGCAGGTGGAGGTTTAGGTGGTGGTGGTGGGCTTGGTGGCGGCGCTGGTGGAGGTTTGGGTGGTGGCATTGGTCACGGAGGTGGTTTAGGTGGTGGCATTGGTCACGGAGGTGGTTTAGGGGGTGGCATTGGGCATGGAGGTGGTCTAGGCGGTGGTGGTGGACTAGGAGGGGGAGCTGGAGGAGGTTTGGGTGGCGGACATGGCGGGGGTCTTGGAGGTGGCGGTGGACTAGGTGGCGGACATGGTGGAGGTCTTGGAGGTGGTGGTGGGCTAGGTGGCGGACATGGTGGGGGTCTTGGAGGTGGCGGAGGACTAGGTGGCGGACATGGTGGTGGACTTGGAGGTGGTGGCGGACTAGGTGGTGGACATGGTGGTGGTCTAGGAGGAGGAGCTGGAGGAGGTTTAGGTGGTGGACATGGTGGAGGTCTTGGAGGTGGTGGTGGAATAGGAGGGGGAGCTGGTGGAGGCTTGGGTGGTGGACATGGTGGTGGTCTTGGAGGAGGAGCTGGAGGAGGCTTAGGTGGTGGACATGGTGGAGGTCTTGGAGGTGGTGGTGGACTAGGAGGGGGAGCGGGCGGAGGCTTGGGTGGTGGACATGGTGGTGGTCTTGGAGGTGGTGGCGGACTAGGTGGCGGACATGGTGGTGGTCTTGGAGGAGGAGCTGGAGGAGGTTTAGGTGGTGGACATGGTGGAGGTCTTGGTGGAGGAGGTGGACTTGGAGGGGGTGGTGGTGTTGGTGGAGGTGCAGGAGGTGGCTTTGGTGGCGGTGCAGGTGGCGGTGGAGGGCTAGGAGGTGGTGCTGGCGGCGGAGGAGGATTTGGTGGAGGTGGGGGTGCCGGAGGAGGATTTGGAGCTGGTGGAGGTTTTGGCAAAGGTGGTGCTATTGGTGGTGGAGCAGGTGGAGGTGGCGGTGGAGGTGGTGGGTTTGGGGGAGGCTTTGGTGCTGGTGGTGGCGCAGGGTTTGGTGCTGGAGGTGGATTTGGTGGTGGACACTAAATTAAGCTGATGCTGAGATTAGCAAGCCGAGAAGTAGAAGAATGAAATATACATATGTTGCGTACTCTACCCCATATCAGTAATGTGTGTCAGTGTCACTAATTGGATATGCTTTCTTGTATCATTTGTTTTTTTCTTTTATCCAAATATAAAATTAATTAATCAACAATTAAAAAATTATAATCACCGCTGATGAGGCTGATTAACAAATCAAAGCTTAAACTAATGGTGTTTTATTTTGGTTTTTTTAATTGTTATTTCGCCCATGCATGCAAAAACTTGTAAACATATCCAATTAGTGTACGTCTCCTCCTTGAGAACTCCATATATGTTCATTTTGGTGTACCAAAATGAAATCATTCTACTCCCTAATGAACTGACACTCATTAAATTTTAGGTTTGAACCACATAGTTGAGTATTAAAAACTCTCACCAACCCACAAATAATAATGCATGTATTGAAGATTTCGGACAGTGGAAAAACCGGTGCATTTAAACGATGTCTGATCATCCAATTTCAACCATTTCTTAGTTTGCAGGTATTGTCGTTGGGCCCAGATGTTCAAAACTTAATAATTTGTTAATTATCCAACTTAACTAAATGGATTAAAGGGAAGCATTGATTATATCAGAGGCCAAAAGATGATATGCTTCATTAATGAATTCCTCAATTTAGAAACGGAATTGTATGTTTGACGTACATGAACAAGTTTGCCAATATGGAATTTGAGATTGAAAATCAATTATTATTCAGCTAAATTTGATTAAGGATTTTCTTATAGAAATTGTAAGCAAATTTAGCAAAACAAATGAACGACAGAGGATTCCAAGGGGCTCAAGTATTTTTCATTTGAAAGGCCCAGTCATAGCCCATTAAGACTTTTCCCTTGCTCCAATGGACGAAAGAGGATTTTTTTTTTTTTTTTTTTTAACTTGCTTCCAATGGAACGAAAGGGATTTTTTTTTTAGGATTTTTTTTTTTTTTTTTTTAAATTAGTTTATGAACATGATAATTTTTTGTTCTATATATAGTTTGTTATTGAATTTTTCTTAGGATACATAATAAATTTCTTGAAGGAGAATGTGACTAGCTTATGATAATGACTAGCTTAATCTGGAAAATTGGATGCCAGAAGGGCTTTTACAGCTGCTTAGCAGAGAACATTATTCCTTCGATTTCAAGTAATGTGAGAAATTTCAATACATGTAATATTGGATTAAAAAGAAAGGAAAAAGACTTGCCTAGATCATGGACCAAGTAAATAAAATTCAAATTTTCTAACAAGTGTTTTGACTTTTTTTTTTTTTTTTTCAATTTCAAGTGTATGGAACTACTCTCGGTTGAAATACTATCATTTCGAAAAATTCAAGGATTTTCTAAATTGATTTTTTTTTTTTTTTTTTCAAGTGTATGGAAATACTCTCGTTGAAATACTATCATTTGAAATTCAGGATTTTCTAAATTGAAAATACTGTCGTATCAATTTACATTTTAATTTGTAAATTGTACATATTCTACACAATTTTATTTTTTATTTTTTATTTTTTTATTTTTGAGAGAACACAAACATAACACAATATATCACACATTTTTCATGGAAACAAATTCTGACATAACATACTAACTTATGTAACTCATACCTGCATACATTTTTAATAAATATAATTTTATAAATAAAATGTTAAACAAATCATATTAAAAAAAATAAAAAATGCAAATCAGTTGTTAATTTATATTTAATAATAAAATTTATAATTATTATGAAATAATTGAGCTTTTCGGAATTTTTTTTCCTGATTAGGAAAAAGTGAGGGCGATTGAACGATGGGTGAGCCCAATCACTGTCGTTTCTACTATTATGATTATCGAATCGTATCTTACGACTTTTTTTGTGTGTCAGCTCCCTCGTGTTTTGTGCTTTTAACGGGACAAATGCAAGAATGAATGGCTTCTAAATAATGTCATAAGCATAAAACCAAAGAGTACTCGCTCCTAAGAGTTCTTTACGTATGACATCTCTGACATTATTCATCTCATTTCCTTTCAGTTTCTGGGTTTCACTCACTAATTAATTTCCACAAACTAAATTCATAATTAATCAATTAATTATATTATATAAAACTATTTTTATAATGTTTAGTAATAATTTTTAAAAGTTAAGATAAAATTTTGTTAATAATTATAACGCTTAGCTTTTAACGTTTTATAAAAAGTTATTCTAACAGCTAATTAAACACTACTAAAATAGCTAACAACTATCAAAACCGTTAATTTTGACAAACAAACCCTAAGCATGATCGTGCACTATTTAGTACTTCATGTATAATTTAGAATTTAAACTGTAAAGTTCCGTTACATTACATTCTATTACGATGTACTAACTGAAGTCATCATTAATCCCTTGTTTGTATTGTAAAAATAAGAGTTCTCGGTCGAATTATTTTGTAACATAAAGGGAAAAGATCAACTTAATGTGTAACTCGGCCAATTTTACTCTAACAAAGATAAAATAAAATGGAAGAAATTGGCTATGTATATATATGCACATAAAAATATATAATTTTTTCTTTTTTTTGAGAATATATTATACATCAATGGCATAAAAATTATAATTAACAATATATATAAAATCACACAAACATGCATACAAAGAAAGAAAAGAAGTTAAGAAATGAAATATTAATTTACTTGCTATTCACATATACTACTTCTAGTGAAGCAAAAAAGAAAACATCTAAAAAGAGTGATGGATAGAAAAATGATAGCAAGAACCATTGGACCACAATCAATTAATAACTTTGATAGTACTGAAAACGAACCCTCTTTCTTACTAGTTTGATTCTGGATTTGGACCGCTAGGTACTTCATGGGCAGCTGCTTTAAACTCTTCGCCTGAACTGCTCGCACCACCAGAACCAGAAATTCTAGTGGTAGAAGCGTCTGGTGTGTGTAACTCTGTGCTATTTGGTGAAGCAGAAGCCATGGATTTCTTGGGGAAGTCGCTAATAGGACGACCAAGAAGAGGAACAACCAGGAAAAGAAAGCCAAGAAACAAGAACAGAGCTTGAAGTCTGAAACTTACTGTTGAAATTTCACATGCCATGAAATTAGTAATTATAAACCTCCCCCCCAGTAATCCACAAGGGATTAATATCCATGAACCAGTTGAAACTCCAATAATAATTAATTAGAAGAAATATTGGGGAAAAGAAAGAGTAGAGAAAGAAAGAAAGAAAGAAAATAAGGTTGCAGTTGCAGATGGAAAGGAACTTGTAAAATTTCAAGGCAGATGCTTTTAGGAAGTTATATATGCCAAGGTTGGTATAAATGTTTTTATACGTGATGCCATTATTACCCTTGTTCTTCTTTTTAAATTTCAATTTTAACTATATATGGTTACAGATAAGCCAATACATTATTGTGCAATTATGTGATACAAGAAAATTGACCAATGAAAAAGTTTGCTTCCAGACTGTGGTGCATATCTGTATGGTATTATGTGCTAATTATCATTAACAATACTAAATTTATGATTAAACATAATTCATCTATATTGAAATTTAAAAAAATTAAAATGAAAAATTTTGATAAACTTTACGGTAATTTCAATTAAAATTTAAATTTTTTGTAAAAAAATTATAAATCATTGTCTTTCTTTAAAGAAAAAAAGAATCCGGAAAGAGAAAAAGAAGAGTTGGTGGAATGAGAACGAGGTGGATGACTTCTTGCAGCCGGGCTGGTTGTGATCAAGAAATCTTTTTTCATTGACTTGTAAAACCATTTGAAAATTACAAGGCATTGTTCAATCCATTTAGCCTTTTTATCAAAATTTTAGTTAAAGAAAAGCATCACACACACACATATATATATATATATACTGCTTTCCTGTGCTTTGTGAAAATCCGGGATTGTCTCCATGATCAGATGCAGATGGGTCCCTACTTTCTTTATACATACTCCTTCAATATGACCTTAAATTATTGGGATTGGATCATCATAAATAAATTGCATCTCTTCACTAATTTTATTTATAAAATTAAAGATTTAAAATTTAAAAGTACCATTATTAAAATTTTTTTTTTTTGCTTAAAAGATGATATTTGTGATCATCGGGAGAAAAATATGAATAAAATAGTAATCTTATTTTTTTTTTTTAAAAAAAAAAATTGATTAACTTGGTGATGAGTGTCGAAGATTTTATCCATATATTAAAGTAGTTTTTGCAATTAATTCTTTTCAATTTCCTTTAGAAAATGAAATAAAATCTTCTCGATGCAATGGTGGTCGATTGACGATTGATCGATGGTGACCAGAGAATACTTTATTGTCTGTGGGCTACAGTGACAACTGACTACTGATTTGCCGTTAAAAATAAAATAAAATATTATAATTAAAGAAAAGAAAACGGAAACGTATCCATGCATGGCAAAAAGCAATATGTTTTTCACGTAAGGCTTTCACACACGTATGTATATATATGTATATATATGTCGATGATTGCTTTCTAATTTCTAATTCAATGGTAGTCGTTACCCATATGGCTTTCATTTTTCTACCATTTCCCATTTTGAAGGTGGCAAGTCACCTCTGCAACAATAACTTCCTTGTCGTCTTCTTTGCCATCTCAGTTTCAATTTTTGAACAATTACGTATTAATTATGCAATTAATATGTATTTACAAAGATATGTTCACAAAATTATTTATTTATACTATAAAAGATTTATTATAGTTTTTTTTTTAAATATATAGTTTTTTTTTTAAATATATAGTTAGGAGTACCATAGAGTTAACTTGAACATACCAAGACAAAGTTATTTTCCTATATTTAATATATAGTTACGGAGTACCATAGAGTTTAACTTGAACAAACCAAGTACCAAAGTTACTTATTCCTATATTTAAATATATAATATATATATTATTATATATATAGTTTGATTTTGTGCATTTAATTTTAAAATATTATTACTTGAGGCAAGTTTTTAATGTCATCGAACTCTGGTTGTTGATAAGAAAACAACTCCTATGTACTAATTGAATGTGTAATCAGTATATTGTTTAAAAATTATTAAATTTTTTTCTAATTCAGTTTCCTTTTTTAATTTTAGTCTGAGGATTAATCAAAATGCGATCTTTGTTATTATATTATGGTTGGTCAACATGTTCATAAGCTTGAAAGCTACTAAACAGAAAAAATAAAAAAAAAAAAAAAAAAAAAAAAAAAAAAAGCAAATTGCAAGTTTAGAACATCTTTTGATGCATTTACCTAATTTTCCACAAACGTTAATTTATCTTTTTAAGGAAATAATCGTTTTTTCTGGTTTTAGGTTTTCAATAATTTATTACAGGACCTAAGTTCTTTAAATTATCTAATCTTGGAATAGCTTTATATACGAATTTATCCAAGATATTATATGCAATAACATGTTGATGGATCAGGCATTCAAATATTTAGCATGTGCATTAAAGTAATCATCCTCAGAAAAATTTTAAAATTTTTACACAAATGATCAAATCGTAGAATTGAATGATTGATATAAACCAAATGAAAAGACTACAACATAAATAGAAAAAGGGAATTCTTTGTCCATTTAATGTTAAGGCAACTAGCAATGTTTTGGTATAAATCTTTAAGTGGAAATCTTTTTTTTTTTTTTTTTTTTTAATATTTAATTATAAATTACTGCATGATAAAAAGGTTTCTTGGGAAAGGACATAAAAGCATGCCCAGAATGCGGTAGGCAAACAAAAAGAATCATACTAAGAGATCTTTCATAATTTTTTTTATCATTTTTAGGAGTATTGTCAACTTTTTTTGCGTTTTTTTTTTTTTTTTTTTTTTAATATAAATTACTGCATGATAAAAAGGTTTCTTGGGAAAGGACATAAAAGCATGCCAGAATGGTAGGGCAAACAAAAAGAATACATACTAAGAGATCTTCATAATTTTTTTTTTATCATTTTAGGAGTATTGTCAACTTTTTTGGTTAATGCTTGTCAATTTATGTTATTTCATGTTTGTGCTTTTTTTTTTTTTTTCATCAAAATAATTCTGATGCTCATGTGATGTCATCTTTTGGCTTTTGTGTTAATTTCAAAATAAGCCTACTAAATTGAGCACAGTGGTTAAATAATTTAATTAAAAAAAAACCATCAAACATATCAAACATAAAAAAATGTTTGTCATTTTTATATCTATTGTAAATACTTATTGATGTATAACCCAAATGAAGTAGCTCAGTGGTAAAAAGTACTTGCGGGATTGATCAGTCTAACTTAGATGAGGTTCAATCATCCGTAATGCAAATTCTCTTGGATCAGTCCCTTCGCACTGCGAACGAGTGAGAATTAATCAGATTTACCGTGGATTGTAAAAACGGACACGAACTTAAATACCTCGTGAAAATATAAAAAAATATTTATTCACTTATCATTTCATTCTTTACAAATAAATCGAGTGCAACAAAGTATCATACTTTTTGACATTGGTTTGATAGAATGATGTTCGAATTGAACTGAGTTGGAACTTAATTTCAAATTTATAATTTTTTTTAAACTTAATTTCTTTAGTTTTTAAGCGAGATAGAACTTATATAGGAACTTATTCAACTTATTAAAATTATAATTTTGATATATTTTATTGCTTTTTCTATTTAATAATATTATTTTACCTTAAAATTGCATATTCATATCGACTCTATGTACTAAAATTTTATTTATATTTAATTTAATTTTTATTTCATAAAAAATTTTACAAAATATAAACACAATTATTTTTATAATATTACTCTATTAATCACTTTTAAATTAAGCTATTTATAAGCTTTTGAGTCAAGTTTATATATAATCTAACTTATTCATGAAAAATAATGAAATTTTAATTTATATTTTAAATTTAATTTATTTTCATTAACAAATGTGTTTCGAGATTTTTTTTATGTAAACTACCAATATTCGGATTTTATTACTAGGGACCGCTTATCCAACTCAGAATTTTAGTCACAGTTAAAACTCATCGCCTCTCTGCAGATGCGTTAAGTAAGGATCGAACTCAAAACTCTTCCCACATGTTCAGTTTGCGTTGCTAACTTAACCTCAGCCGTTTCAAGATTTTATCGAGTACAACCTCAGCCAAATTCAAGTGGCTTCAATAATCCTATTTCGGACCAATGTATATACACAATTAAAACTTAACATGCAAAACCACTGGTGTTCATGCAGGCCTATCATTTTTGTCCGTTGGATCTATTGGCAGACATTTTGATCTCATTGTTTCCATTGGGCTTATAGACGTTTTATCCATTGGCAGACATTTCGACTCTTCTTACGCAGTTTATCGACTTGAAAAGTCCAAAACAACTTGGCCCATGTCCACGGTCTGAAGTCCTAAAAATCACGTCGTTTGGGGCACTGCGGATAAACGGCGTCGGTTTTGCTTTTACGGACTAACGAAACTTCGACTCGTCCTCTCCATTATAGTTATCTATGTCCTGAAACCACAGATCTCTCCCCTCTCTACATCGGTGGACAATGGAATTTCGTTTACGCAGCGTTTTCCATCTTCTTATAGTCTCGTCTCTTCTCTGCACACTAGCTAGGGTACATACTTCTGCGCTCTTGCTCTCTTTATGAATCGTATGGATGGATACATGTTTGTGTAGCTTAATTTATATCTCGCTTGATCGGGTGATTTTGTGGCTTGATTTGGTTGATTGTGGATTCCAGGCCGAAACTACCGGTTCAGTTTTCTTCATCGATGGCCAGAATCACCAGTATCTTAGGAAGCCATTATCTACAAACGATGTCGTCCAGGTTCATTTGTTTAACTTATACAAATCATACAATTTTCTAATTCGACTCCTTGGATGAAAAATTTTAATTGATTTTTTCCTAAGTTTATGGAAGTTTTTATTTCTTTTCATCGATCACCATGATTTTAGGAGGTTATTTGAGTGTGTTTAAATTATTTGTACTGAGAAATGGTGGTTTTTTCATTCGCATTAGACATGACTTATTGGAATTTCTCTGCTGGAAGTAAGATGAAGTTGAATAGTAAAAGATGAGATTCAAATTTGCATTATCTCTTGCCACCTTTGCTGCTACTGTGGTCCGGGGGCTGATGGGTTGGGGTTGTTTTGCCATGATATGTCATTTGGTCTTAATGTATGAAGAAAGTTACCTATTTTGTTGGACTGGACTATTTACATCTTGATTTTGTTGATACACAAAGCAGTTTTCTCCTGGGCTGCCTTTCACGTATTTAGTTTGTTTTTTGCTCTCCCTTATAGCTATTTTTTCACTTTCAGTCTCATTCCATGTCGCCTCTGGAAGTCGGTGCTGCTGTGTCTGTCTTGCTTGGTTTTCAACCTCCTACCACACTTTCAGCTGCTGGTTCATCCAAGGTCCTTGCAATGATGAGTTCTGCAAAATTAATTTGTTTTAGATCCTTTTTATATTTAATTCTGGGATTGTGACAATTTTACTGCTTTTTCTGTAGTTGAATGAGGTTCTCATGCCCAATCCATTTGATAGACCTCGTGCTGTTTTTGTGCTGGAAGTCACAGGAGTAAATGGTGACTGCACTTCAATTTTGAAATGAACCATAATCTGAACTCTTAATTGTTTTATCTATTTAGCATTTACGGATTTATTTAATATGCAGATATGGTTAATCCAGAAAATGCCTTGTTTACTAATGCCTTTGAAAGCAAGGTCATTCTTGGTTCGGGTAAAGCACAAATTGAACTGCCAGGTACGTGCCCTTTATTAGACTGCGAGCCACAGCTTACAGTTATCTGTACATGAATATGACTATTGTTGCATGAATGAGTAACTTCTCGTGAATGTATTTTTGTCTTATGAAATCTGTTGCAGATGAGGAAGTCTCTGTGGTTTCATTAGTTGAAAAATTATCAGATTGCACAGACAAGGAACTAAGTGATTTGGTTAGTATTGACTTGTATTTATCTTGTATAGCTAGTGACATTTGTCCTAGTCTCTTCTCATTCATAGATCATCTCTTGACTTCGGCACTGTTTATTATTTAGGCATCTTGGTTGGGTGGATCATATATTACTGATGCCTTCGGACCATTGAATGGAGAGTTGATCATCCCCTTGGCTGGTGGTGCTAATGTGAATCTTGACATGTCAAAGGTAGTTTATTTATCATTTCTTATGGCTTCATTGAATTCGAGATTAAAACTTTTAGTTTTATAATTCTCAAAATTTGTATTGGAAACTTACATTTTTATTCTTTACAGAAATTAGATAAGGAATTTATAGCAAGTCTCTTGGCTTTGTTCCACAATAGTAGAAGAGCAATAGAATTGCATGAAGACCTGTCACAAGTTGCTCAAGGACCTGCAGAGTTAATAATGGGTAGTTTTGATGGCATTAAGGTGATGGCATTAACTTTGACATATGATGTTTCAAATGTGTGAAATTGCAATTTTATCTGTTAATAATAGGTTGCTTTAAGCAAGTATTGTGTTAGTAGAGATTACCTTTCTATTCCTAAATTTGAAGGAACAAAGACTGCTGTGAATGGTGCAAGTTCATTAATGAGGTCAAGAATGAGTAAATGCTTATTTTCATATTTGTGTTTTCCTACTCTGGTTTTCAGAGGGTCTTTGAGTACATGTTTAAAATGGCTGGAACGATGTAATGGATAATGGGACTCTTCAGCCTTTCTGGGTTTATCAGAACTTTTCAGGTTTCACGATTGGCATGCCTTTGATTACTGAATTATGTTGGTTTTCATAATGGTGAAATTTTATGCGAACTATTTCTTCTTGCATTAATTTTTAATTTATATAATTTGGAATGTCAAGAATATATCGAGTTGTGTTGGTTTTGTTTTGTCTTTTTCCCAAACTTGAAAAACTAAAAATTGCGCTGTTTCTTTATCTAAACTTTCAAGATATAGTTTCATATATTATCTATTAAGTCCATCACTTATTTATTTATATTACTACAGGCTTTGGAAGGGCAATATGGACAAGGAGTTGTTGTTCAGCAAAGGATGGAGCTATTGCTTGCTACATTGTCTAAAATGCTTGATTCCTTCCAAGTAGCATACAAAGGTAGGTTGTCATTCTTTTCAGTATGAGCTTTTTCTTATGCTAAAACATTGTCATTGTCCATCCTGAATATGTGAGAAGAGAAACCTTGTTTACCTGAATAGCATTTGCATCCATTGAACACACCATAAGTTCTCTTCCTATGTATGACAAGTTTGAGGTTTTTTTAATTAGAGAAATATATGCAATTTGAAACTGATCTTGTGGCTTGTGATGCATTCTGCAAATAATTTAAATTTCAAGTTACAACTCTTTCTTCATATTTACAGCCGATTTTTGTGATTAAAATATACTGCTGTTAGTAATATTGCTATTGCTTGACTATGGCAATAATGGTGATTGACAGGTCAAATTGTTGGAATTATCATCTGTAATGATGCATCCTCTTCAGAATCAGAAATGATGTTGAATGTCATTTTGAATTCTCGGCCATCTGCACGTTGGTTGGCTGAGGTAAAAGGATCAAATGCAACTAATGCAACCCTTGTGGAAGTGGCCTTGGTAAGGAAGACCCTAGCTTGGTTGACGGGGATTATTCTCATCATTTCTACTCTATTAGGGGTAAGATTATCTAATTTAAACTTGACATGGTATCTTTAGTTTTCAAATTATACTAAATTTTAGAAATTTGTAATTTCTTATGACTTTGGCTGTTATCTTCATTGTGAGTACTTGTGCGTGTGCACATGCACACCCACCCCACCCCTTATCCATGGATCTAAAAGGTTTTTAGGCTCATTCATAGAGTTGCTGTGGCAAAATGCACACCTTTTCTCAGTTTCTCTATTCTTTTCTGCAGATATACCTGCTGCTCAATATGCCCCTCACGAGGGACACCCTTCTCTACTCTAATGTCAAGCTTGACTAAACTGAGAGGAAGTTGATGTATCTTTCTGCTGCTAGAAGTTCAGGATGGCATTCCGGTTTTTGTGAATGAGTTATTCTTAGATTTTTTTTTTTTTTTTTTTTTTTTTTTGCCCCTCACGAGGGACCACCCTTCTCTACTCTAATGTCAAGCTTGACTAAACTGAGGAGGAAGTTGGATGTTATCTTTCTGCTGGCTAGAAGTTCAGGATGCATTCCCGGTTTTTTGTGAATGAGTTATTCTTAGATTTTTTTTTTTTTTTTTTTTTTTTTTTCCAAATTACCAATCGGGGCTATTTAAATTGGTTATGGAACCTGCCTCAAACACCTGCTCCTTGAGTAGGTCATTCTGGCAAATCGGGATGATTTTAGCTGGTTACACAACTATAAGGGAAGTCACCGGTTGGATGTTTTTTTTTTTTTTTTTTTTTTTTTCAAATTACCAATGGCTATTTAAATTGTTATGGAACCTGCTCAACACCTGCTCCTTGAGTAGGTCATTCTGGCAAATCGGGAATTGATAGCTGGTTTACACAATATAAGGGAGTCACCGGTTGATGCCGGGTAGTTTCAGATGTGCTTTGGGGGCATGGGGAAGTGAAATGATGATTGTGCAACAATTTATAGTTGGCGGTTTAAGTAAATTGTTATATTGTGTATTTGTTGAATAATACTCTGACATGGAATAAAGAAAATCTCATTGTATGTATAAATTATAGTCTAGTTAGGCTATGCACTGGCTTGCATTGGTGGTGATACAGTTTATTTAATTAGGGAAGAAAACTAATTTAAGATTTTTATGGTTAAAATATACGAAATTTTATTTTAAACACCTATTTTCAAAATTCTGCTCCCCTAGAATAAGTTGCAACACTAGTCCTTAAGAATAATAGATATGCATATGTTTTTTATATATATATAGCACACGGAGATATGGCTGGCTGATTTGAGGATAGCAATGTGCTATATGGAATGTAAAACACAGAATTTGCAACAATCTATACAAGTAGTAGTGTCCGTTTTCATTGTTGGGCAAAAAGGTATTTAGGAGCTTCATTTTTAAGGAATTGATGGAACCATTTAGCTGATTGTTTGGGCGTCCTCTGCAATGTGGTTCGATCCACGTAATATAACCCAAAACAAATGGTGTAACCATATCTCCACTCAAAGTTGTCTATCAGAGACCAATGGAAGTACCCTCTCACATCCGCTCCCTTCCTGCAATTATCAACATATAAATTAATTATCCAACAAAAGATTTGGTTAAAAGTCAGTCTGTACATATAGATATATATGTACCTCAGTGCTGCTGCCAAAGAAGTGAGGTAACTTTGCATATACTCTATCCTACTTGTGTCGTTTAGCATATCTTCAATGGCCTTGCTGCTAGGCTGTGCGTATCCTGCGAGCAACTCCATTATTAATATTTTTAAGTCCTTAGTCTGAAAATTGAGCTTCGTGTACCGGGTTGTCCTCTTAATAATAATAAAATGAAGAGATTAGAAAATTGTAATTAATATTGGTGTTCAATGACATACCATTTTCAGTAATGAACATAGGTGTGTTGTTGTATCTGTTTTTGAAGTACATAATTGTCTTTTCCATACTATTTGGAACAACATAGAAAGTGGGCATTGCAGTCTGAAGAGAAAGAGAGAGACAGAAGCAATGTTAGTTACTATCATACATAAAATATATTGGTTGTTACTAGATTAGATTAATGTAATAATATCTTACTGGTTGTCCTATAAGAACCCCATCTCTCTCTCCAGTTATATAAGCAAACGAATCAGCAATGATATCAGTAGTAATATTGCAAGATGACACCAAACAATCCTTTGCATAGAGAGTGCTATAATGGTTTATTCCAATAAAATCCAATTTGCTCTCCAATTTCTTCCTGTCCTCCACTGAAAATTTTGGTAGCCTTAGCCCTACTATCTGTTGCATCTCGGGTGGATACTCTCCATACATAATTGGATCCATAAACCTGTAATTTTATGTATTAATTAATTAATATAGATATTCATTAAATCAGTAACAACTTCTGTAAGTTTAATCCTTGAACGGTAATTAATTAGCTAATTACCAAGCAGCATAGAAAGCTAGAGCTCGCTGAGTAGCAAAAAAATCAACTGGAATATCTCTTAGTGGTTCAAACCAATAGACATGCAATACAATGCCAATCTGCCCTCCTTGTTTTTCCTATTTCAAGTAAGCCCAAAATTAGTGAAAATTAATTTTTTTTTAAACGAAGATTTTTAAAAAAAATCTTTATTTTTATTGGTTTCATCTATACATTAGCCCGATAAAGAGGGTCCATGCAAGTTTTTTAAACGTTTACTGTACCTGATACTTGTTTTTATAAATTTGAGTTGCAGTGGCATGTGAGAGTATCATATTATGAGCAGCAACGTAAGGCTCTAATTCAGAGTCCCCAGCTTTGCATTTTCCGATAGGGTAAGAGCATCGGGAAGGTGGATATTGACCACTGTAGTAGCTAGCTTGGGCCATAACGTTGGGCTCATTTAATGTAATCCAATACTTCACCCTGTCCCCAAATGCCTGGAAGCACACTTCTGCAAAGTGCCCAAAATCTTCCCTGTAATATATTGAAAACAATCTAAATCAGTCAAATTTACTTTCTTTGAAAGGGATTTTATACTGTATTAGAGGTAGGTTTTTGACGAATTACTGTATTTGAGGACTCAGCCAAGAACCATATCGGTCTTCTAATTCTTGAGGGACATCGTAATGGTTCAAAGTAACAAATGGTTGTATACCTGAAAAAAATAGACATAAGAAACATTTTTTAAGGGAAAAAAAAACTTAAACTTTTATTAAATAGAAATGGAAAAATTATTATTTTCTCTTTGTATTTTATCATAGTATACAACATTGTTTCCGTACTTTTAGAAATACATACTTTTATTTTTTATTTCCATTAAACTGATATATTTTACCGTAAATATTTTATATTTTTTTGTCATTAAATTATTATTTTATCTCTATATCTTATCAAAATTAACAAATTTACTCCTATATTTAACAGAAAAGTATAAAAAATTGATAAAAGAATACAACAGAGCATCGGTAAACCTGACGTGTATAAATAAGAACACATACAAATCTGCATGTCTGTTTTTTACCTTTGAGTAAAAGAGCATCGGTAAGGTTATTATAATATTCAATCCCAGCTGCATTAACATTCCCAAATCTGCCCTCTGTAATTTTCTCAGAATTATTACAACATAAACAAGTGAAAATCATATAATTTAAGGGAAAAAAAAAAAGTTGTTTTGGAACATACTTGGAAGGACTCTAGACCACGAAATAGAGAATCTGTATGAATTTACTCCAAGGGAATGCATCAACTCTATGTCTTCCTGTCACACAATACAACTCCTCCAAATATATTTTATTTTCTTGGTATAAATAATAATATTTTACCAACTGATACTTTAAAATTGTATTATAATAATACTGTTATTTTATTATATTTAATTTATTCCAATTTAATGCAAGCTAGTATAAAATTCCAACTTAAATACCAAATATAAATGATAATGATCATCCGCGACATCTCCATTGCTTCCATCCTTGATTTTTCCTAATCATAAGAACAATTGTCACTGCTATATATAGATTTTAAGACGAAAAGGAAAATAGAAAATGAATTTTTAATCTCTAACTATATGCGATATTATTATTATTATTATTATTTTGAAAAGCAAAGACTGATATTATTATAATGATACCTGACCTATCCCGTGGCAAATAATAATAATAAAAAAAAAATGCAAGACTCGATTTAATTGAAAAAGATAATAATTAAATTAACTGTTAATCCGTTGACTTTGCAAATTTTAATGCAACACTCTGGATAAGTTATATATAAGCCAAAGAACTTCGAAAAAAATTAAAAAATTATTTTTAAGTTAATTATATTATATTATACCTGGTAAGTGAGAAAATACATCCCAATTGCTGAGGCCTTTATTGGCTTCCAGGTATGCTCCTTCCACCTGTAGTCTCAAAATAATATATTTTCAATTTGATATAAATAAATTTTAATTAATTTACTAAAATTTATGTATGAACATAATTAAATCATATTTATTCTACTGTCATATCTATAAACAAATTTTAATAATAAGCAAATCAAATTTGATTAAATCAATAAAATTGATCTTTCTGACATATTAAAATAATCAAAAGATCAATTCATAAAACACTGATAGGATTTAAATCTTTCACTTCTTGCAATCTGCCTACAAAAATTGATTTGATACACAATCAAGACAGAGACATTTGAAAGATAGTTGAAACATCTTTGGTAAAAAAATTTAGGATTGAATGGATTTGATTTGATTTGATTTGGTTTGATTTAATGTGTCTAAAGGTGCTTTTTGCATTATTAATATATTAATAGTTATTTACCAAACAATTATTTACCAAACACAAAAATGAAGATATATTTAATTTAATATTATTGGCCACTTGACTTATCTTATGTTATCTTTTTGTTAATGTAGTCCAATCATCATTTGCAGTTCAAATAATAATAATAATAATAATAATAACAATTCAACACAAACAAGAGTTTAGTAATGGAAGACTGGAAGAAAAAGACAGGAATGTTAAAAAAACCTAGGTGGAAATTTGAATTGCTAATCTACTTAGCTAGTAACCTAAATCGATTTCTTATTACATATCTATTTCTAGGTAGAGAATAGGAAAATAATTTCTCTATTTCTTTTTTTTTTTTTTTTTTTTTAGGAAAAGGAATGTTAAAAAAACCTTAGGTGGAAATTTGAATTGCTAATCTACTTAGCTAGTAACCTAAATCGGATTTCTAATTACCATATCTATTTCATAGGTAGAGAATAGGAAAATAATTCTCTCTATTTCTTTTTTTTTTTTTTTTTTTTTTTTAGGAAAAATTTTTTTTTTTTTTTTTTTTTTAGGAAAAATTCCTTTATTTCTAAGGGAGCTACTTATTGACTTAAATAACCACTTCTGCTTACGTCGGAATGAAGATAAATTAGATAATGACAGAAATTTGTTTGTTCAAAACAAATTACAGTTTATTTTCTCTTTCTTTTTTTCAAATATTTTTTATTTTTGATAAGACAGCCTAAATAGCTAGGTTTATTACTTTAGATATTATATAATATTAATACCACTAACTAACAAGACATTGGATTACCGGAATCAGAGTCTGAATTACCAGAAATAAACTATATTTCTATATGAATTTTGCATCTAAAGTCAGGTTCCATCAGCATAAGCGAACGGAAACACATCTTGTCTCTTTTGTTTTTTTTTTTTTATTTTTTTTTATGGACAAGATAAATAAAAGCAAGATTTGAAAAGAAGTGATTTTTTTATAGGGAAGGAATGAATTAGTAGAGGGAAAAAAAGAAAAAGAAAAAGAAAAATAAAATATGCATCCTGCACTCAAATGCAATAAACGTAATGTCTAATATTTATAGAATTTCTTTATCATATGTATGCCAAGAAAAAATATTTTCACTCTATAGATTTGTAGCCTGCACGGTGTACATAACACATCTGCATATATATGGTAATTAAACTTAGTTTCTGGACTGCATGCATTGACATTGTAAACACGAATAGGAGCTGAGGGAGGGGAGATTGGGGGAAGACCGGGTCTTCAAACTCCATAAATTTTTTTAAAATTTACTTTATAATTTAGTGCAAAAAAATTTTTCCTCACTTTATTTCCGTAACTTTTAAAAAATTTATTTTAACTCTTCTAAATTCTAAAATCTAACTACACGCTAAACACAGATTATACGTACCTGGTAGGAAGAAGTTGCTGTCCCAAACAAAAATGAAGGAGGGAAGTGACTACGGTCCAAAGATGAACACACCTTCATCGTTAAAAGTGATACAAACACAAAACAGACCAGTTTCTTCATCTTTCAGCTTAATCTTCTCCCTCACTCTTGTTATAACTAGGCAAGAGCGGAGCTCACTCCTTGGGATATATTTGCATGCCCTTTATATAAAGAATTGGTGACACTTCTTTTGCGTACTGTAGTAGTTGTTGAATATCGCAATGCCATTAATTAATAAGACATTTATGGTCAATACGTATTAATTAGAAGACTGGTAGATTTAATACTATACATGTGGACCGTTAGATATATGTAATTTGATAATAGAGTTTGTTTTATCTTTGATTTTAGCATAAAGTTTGTTCAATAAAATGCTTCATGTTTATTATAATTTATAATTTATATATTTGAGTTTTAATTATGATTTAAATGTTAAATCATTAAAAAAACTTTGCGCGTAGTTTTAATTGTACCATAAATTTAATTTTTTTTTTCTAATATTCTGAACTTGACCTTTAATTACAATAATACCCTAACTTTCTTAATTTACTATTGTTTTTTACATTTTTCTCATATTTAACAATAAAATTTTTAAAATACAAAATTTATTTGATATTTTTATGGTATTATGAATTGAATTTTTTAATTAATTTTCAATATTGCAACCAATTATTTGAATTTTTAATTAATTTTCAATATTGCAACCAATTATTTGAAAAATATTATTAAAAAAATATTTTTTATAAAAAATATTTTTTAAAAATAAATTATTTTCTAAAAATAAACGGAGGATTAATTAAGTTGTGATACGATCTTAGTCCATAGCTGACTTGAGAAGCTGGGACTGACATGAGAAATGGATAAGTTTTAAATGAAAAATCAATTAACTTGTCCCTTTTCTTTTCCTTTTTCTTTTCTTTTTCCTGCTCTATTAAAGTCGTGTCAGTAGAAAAGTTTAGGATCTTTGATCTTCAAAATTCCAGGGATTGAAATTTCTTATGCATCACATTTTCAATTTCCATCTTTCGTTTGGTTTGAATTTCTAGAGAACCCATTAAGCATTAACCCCAATAATATATAATCAGAAAAAAAAAATTCATGCAAGGAGATGAATTTAAATTTTGAATTCCTATTGCATATGCTAATTAATACGATTAAAATAAATAGTGAAAAATAATTTTATCACGGAAAAAAAATATAAATCACTTTAATCACAAGAAAAATTTTCCTTTGAAAATTAACCTTAACCTGACATTAGACATTACATGGCAATATTCAAGGAATGTTAAAAGGTATATTAAGACTCATGATTTATGTTAAACAATTTCAGGCTTGAATTTCACAAGAGATGACAAAATACGTATATTGTTAAAACGTACGTGATGAGCGAGTAATATTAAATGATGAAATAATTTTTTATAATTTCGACACAAATACAATATTTAAATTAGACAGCTGACACGAACACGATACGTTTAATCCGCTTAATATCATAAACATGTTAAGTGGGTGGTGTTGACACGTATGCAACTCGTGTAACCTTTTAATATCATAAATAAGTTAACTGAATGTATTAGATCTATATACGACCCACTTAACCTGCTTATAGTATTTTTAACTTTTAATCTATTTACTCTAATCATATTTAAAAATAAATTTTCACAATTAAAATGCATAAATTCTTCAAAATGCATAAATTTCTTTATAGAAAAAAAAATTCTTATTGTATAGCTTATTATGTTATTTCTGCTTGTTACACCTCCCAATAAATAAATAAAAAAATTCTTAATTAATTTCCAATTTAATAGCAAGTGGATAATTGACAAACCTTTTCCTTTTCAGTTATAATATTTTATTTTGTAATATTCCATATCTACAAGTGAATTAGTCAATCTTGATTTCTTTCAATTCACGCCTTTGTTTTTCTTTCCATTGAAGCAATTGACAAATATTAGCGTATTCAATCCACCTCATTCTCACCAATAGTCCAATTTAATTTTGGCATGAAGATTAAGAATTCAATTTAATTTTGGCATGAAGATTAAGAAGTCTTATCAATAGATTTTTTTTTTTTTTTTTTTCAATAGAGTTTTATTTTTTTTTTTTTTTTTGTTATAGTTTACCAATTTTATCTTTCAATGAAATGACATATAAATGAATGTGACTTATTGATAAAATAATAAAATTTTTTAACTTAATTAAAAATAAAAAAATGGATAATTAATTTAAGATGTCCCAGATTAATCAACAATGGCTTTCCTCTAGCAAGGGTGGTAAATGTGGACCCTAGGATGATTTTTTTTTTTATCAGCAAATAAAATTATTTTATTATGAAAATGCCATGAAAAAACATAACATATCTGAAGCAAATATGTTAAATGAAATACAGATAAAAAATTCTAGAGCTTAGAACTTAGACACCATGAGAAATTCACGGGTTTTATGCAATGCTTTCCTCCACATTATTGGGCTCTCCTTCAGCGAAGCCGACAGAGATTATCAAACTACAGTCTATACTTCTAAATTATTCAATATTTATGTATTATGAAAGTTAATTTTAAAAATTAATACAAATCTTAGTAATTTACTCATAACTTAAGGTTAATGAATTTCTTATATATTTTGTTTTTACAATAAAAAAATTTCTTATAAATTACACAAATTTTCTAATTATATTCATCAATTACCATAGGATGAATGTAACAAAACTTAATAAAAAATGAATAACTTATATAAAAAATATACTAAAATATGCATACCCAATCAAATTTCAATAGCTAATTTACAAGAAATATTTATTTATATTTACAAATACCATAATTTTCTGCTGCTATTTATGGGCATGCGAAGGTTATTATTATTTCTAAGGAATTGCTGAAACCATAAGGCTGATTGTTTCGGTGTTCTTTTCAGCGTTGTGCGATCCACATGGTATAATCCAAAGCATATTGAATACCCATATGACCATTCAAAGTTGTCTATTAGTGACCAACCAAAATAACCTCTCACATCTGCTCCTTTCCTGCAATTATAAAATATAATAATGATAATATTAATCACAAAATCACAACTCACCACAAAAAAAAAAAAAAAAAAAAACCACAAAAAAAAAAAAAAAAAAAGCGACGATTTTCAAAAATGTAATGTAGTGAAAAAAAAAAAAAAAAAAAAGCCACGATTTTCAAAATGTAATGTAGTGAACCAGAAAAAATATTTAAGGGGCGAAAAAGTTTTAAAAATTTAGCAGTAACTGGAAATTATTTAATATTTTATAATATAAATTTTATAAAATTTTAAAATTAGGGGGAGCCGAGGCCACTACTGGCCATCCTTAGTTCCGTCATCGGCACCTTATTGCTGCGGCTAGGGAAGTCAGGTAACCCTCCATGTACTCTATTCTTCCAGCGTCACTGAGCATTTCTTTAATGTCACCACTGTTAGGTTGTGCATATCCTGCAAAATAGTTCAATCTTTAAGTCCTTAAAGTTACACCAGTAATTGAAAATTGTCGTACCTGTAACTAAACTCGTGATATATTTATTTTTTCTCCTCAGGTTATTAGAATAGCTTTCAATTGTGTCATAGAAAGAAAACGAACATTTTTTTCTCGTGAAAAATTTATTTATAGTTATTCACTTTGGTGCATGCAGGAGATTATTTACCATTCTCAGTGATAAACATGGGTGTGTTGTTGTATCTGTCTTTGAAATACATGACTATCTTCTCCATACTATTTGGAACCACGTAAAATGTAGGCATTGCAGTCTGCAAGAGCAAAAACATACATATAATGCTAAATTAATATATATTAACTGTCATCTTATCTTTGTTAACTAATTTCTAATTAGACTCTAATTCAGCTTAATATAACTAATTAATTACCGGTTTTCCAATAAGATTTCCATCTCTGTCCCCAGTATTGTATACAAATGAGTCTGCAAGTAAGTCAGTACTAGAATTGCATGGTGAAAACATGCAATCCTTTGCATAAAGAGTGCTATAATGATTTATTCCAATAAAATCCAATTTATTCTTCAATTTCCTTTTCTCCTCTACTGAAAATGTTGGTAGCCTTTCACCTACTATCTGTCGCATTTCAGGTGGGTACTCTCCATATATAATTGGATCCATAAACCTACAGATACAAATTTGGAAAAAAAGAAGAAAAGAAAACGTCAATTCCAATTCCAATTCAAGTAATAATCAGAGCAAAACGCTTAATTAAGGTAAGACAATTACCAAGCAGTAAAAAAAGATAGAGCTCGTTGAGCAGCAAAATGATCAGCTGGAATATCTCTTAATGGTTCATACCAGTAGGCACTTAACACAATGCCTATCTTCCCTCCTTGTTTTTCCTATTCAAATCAAAACCGTGTAAGTACTGCATTAATTAAATTGAATAATCTAACTGTGTATAAACACGTTAATGCATTATAGTCATGTTCGGCAAAATTAACCATAAAAAAATAAGATTTAAATATTTAATTTTTGAATATAAGAAAAATGCTGTGACATATGAAATAGTACTGCCGAAATCAGAGGCGGAGGGAGAGATGGCCGGAGGTGGATAAATCCTTTTTTTTTTTTTTTAATTCTTGCCTTCAAAAAAATTTTTTTTTTATTTGGCCTCCTTAAATTTTTTTAAAAATATTTTTGGCTCCCTAACTTTGATTTCTGACTCCACCACCGAATAAAATTTTGGTATTCAAATGTACCTGATATCTGTCTCTGTAAATTTGAGTTGCTGTGGCATGCGACAAAATCATATTATGAGCGGCAATATAAGGTTCTAATTGGGAGTCTCCAGCTTCACATTTGCCTACTGGGTAAGAGCAACGGCTTGGCGGATGTTTTCCACTGTAGTAGCCAAATTGGGCCACAACGTTGGGCTCATTTAGCGTTGCCCAATATTTAACTCTATCCCCAAATGCCTTGAAACACAACTCAGCAAAGTAGCCAAAATCTTCCCTGCATAAACATGAAAATTATTAATGTTTTCCTTATTAGAAATTAGGAAAACAATTTCTCAAAAAAAAAAAAAATGGTAAAAATAAACTTACTGTATTTGAGAATTTAACCATGAGCCGTATCTATCTTGTAATTCTTGAGGAATATCGAAATGGTTCAATGTAACAAATGGTTGGATCCCTACTCAAACAAATTAGACTCAATTAAGTACATAATCCTAAATATAATATAAATGGAATTTTTAAAAAAATAAAATTTAAATTACCTTTGAGCAAAAGAGCATTGATAAGTTTGTTGTAGAATTTAATCCCTTCTAAATTGACTTTTCCAAATCTACCCTCTATCAATAATTAAATATATAGAGATAATCTCAGGAAAAAAAAAAAAGATTAATGGTTTAATGGTCATTAATTAATTAGTGTGAGACATATATACTTGGGAGTACTCTGGACCAGGAGATGGAGAATCGGTATGAGTTGACCCCAAGGGAGTGCATTAGCTCTATGTCTTCCTGATACACACAAAAGACTTTATTAGAATATTTTTATTTTGTTATCAAAAATTACTAAATAAGCATAAATCTATAAAACATTTCCATTAAATAAAAAAAAAAAGACATTTTTTTCATATTTTAATCACAAACCGCAAGGTATGAAAAGGACCCTTTTTTAAAAAATGAAAGTCAAGCGATGGATCCTGAAGAAAATGGCGTGTTTTGCTGTTTCAGCTTCAGGGAGAATGACTTTGTAATGTTGATTAAACGAAGTTGATATGTCACAACTGCAAGTCAACGCTTGAAAATATGACTTTTTTCTAGTTCTAGTGTTCCCTTCCTCCCATCATTTTCTTTAAAAAATGAAATAAAAATAAAAATTTATAATTTTAAATATTGGATATAAGTTATTGGTGATTTTTAAAATATTTAAAATTTCAGAAAGTGCTTTTTTCTTTCTTTTTTTTTTTCTTTTTGGTTTTTAATGAGGATTATAAACTAGCTTAATTATAAAAGTAGAGAAATATATTGTAATTACCTTATATAAATTATAATGATCATCAGCCATGTCGCCATTGCTTCCGTCTTTGATTTTCCCTGATATGATTACCAACAATTATTAAAATATATGATATATGTACTTAATTTAATTAAGCTAATTGTAAACAAGTAAATGTATATATACACACACACATGCAATTATGTTTAAATAGCTCTCTAATTTTCTTATATAAGTAAATGTATATATAACACACACACATGCATTATGTTTAAATAGCTCTCGTAATTTTATTATATATATAATATATATATATATATATATATATATATAATAATATATACACTCTAATAATTTAGTATGTGAAATTAAGCCATTAATCACCCAAGAAATTTAGTACATTAGCGACATTTCAATCATATACCTTGTATATGTGAGAACACATCCCAATTGCTGAGGCCTTTATTGCCTTCTAGGAATGCTCCTTCAATCTGCAGGTTGGCAATTTAAAATGGAATCAATCATTTGAAATTGTAAATATGCAATCTTGTTCTCTGAAACAAATGGCTGAAATAAATATGAAAGCAATAGATATCAGAAAATAAAGAGCTAGCAAATAAACCTGCAGAGTGTAGATTCAAAAAATAATACAACATAGAACAGCAAAACCCTTTCTGTATATACCTGATAAGAAGAAGTTGCAGTACCAAATAAAAAGGAAGAAGGGAATTGGCTACGATCCAAAAAAGACGAACATCTATCTACAGATAACACCAAAAGAAGGAGAACAAAGACTGCAGTTTTCACTTTCTTCTTCATCCTTGATGATCAATGCTTAACTTTCTTGTGTTGTGTAGAGAATATGTTTAGATGAGAGCGTCTAAGCTGAAGCTGGGTTTGTTGAATGTGTATATTGCATGTTATTAGGATCTGCCTAGCTCTCTGGGCTTTATATAGATAATACCTCGCAGTTTTTCGCTTTTTTTTTTTTTTTTTTTTTTTTTTTTTGAAAAAATATTTTCTAACATGGTGTTGTTTTTTTTTTTTTTTTTTTTTTTTTTTGAAAAATATTTTCTAACATGTGTTTCCGGCAACCAGTTTCAAACTCATTTGTTAATCCAACAATTATTATTAACAAAACAAAATCTGACGGTAGAAAGCAACTTCTGTATTAGTACAGAATATTAATATTCTGTACTATAGTTTTGCCCTAATGTTTATAACTTAGGAAAAAAACTTTGAAGTCTCCAACTCAGAAATAGGCGGCTTCTATTTTATTTCATTTATTTATATAACTTTTGGGGTTATCTTATCTGAACAACCATAAGCCATGTGTCAGCTTAATCCTTTGGTTGCAAGACATTTTTTAATTTATTTTTCAATTGCATAATTTGCATATTATATATATATATATATATATTGAAATTGAAGTAATTAATAGATAATCAATTGCTCTTCTCTTCTTAATTTTATGATTAGCATCGATGATAAAGTAATGAAGTTAGATTTTGCTGTACAAATAAATTATAAGGTGGCATAACTTCACACTTAAAAATATGGTTAAGGGCAATCAAATGCACATCAATTTAGTTAGAATTTTTATAAAACTAATAAACGAATCAATTTTTCTTAAACAGAAACCGAATTAAACCAAATTTCACAAAAGAAATAAACCAAATTGAGAAAAATTTTAAAAATATTAGACAATAAAAATTGAAACAGCTGAAGTTTCAATAAAATATATTAAAATTTTTATATAAATAGATGAAATTAGGTTTCGTTCCATTATTTCATTTTTTTTTTTACCTTTTTTTAATATTAAAATTATTTCTTAACTCGTATTTTCAATTGCATTTAATAAAGATATATAAAAACATTATATATAAAAATTCAATTGAACCATATTGAATAATATTGAATCTTCCGATCCAATGAATCCCTACTTTTATCAATTTATTGACGGATCCAGCACTTATCAAAACATGAATATTTTGTATATATTTTTAGCGAGTTATTGAAAATGTCTATTTTTTCCTTTTCTCTCTATTTTACGTGTAAAGGGTCATAGCATGTTACTCAATAATTTACGCGAGTTAGGTTACTTTTTTTTTATATATATAATTGTATATAATGAACGTATTTATTTAACATTTCCAGCTGATCCCTATAGCTGATAAGCATGCATTGCAAATATTTGCAATGACAAGATTGAACCTTTGCTGTTTCTCCTTCTCATTAGTCAAATTTTCTCCTTCTCTTTTGCAAGACTTTGAAAGGGAATGTTTCTTCTCATGTTAACAAGCTTATGAATTTATATTATTTTCTTCTTACCAAATAGTTAATGATTTTTATAAAAGATATAACTTTATAGTACTATAATATATTTCATGATTTGTCCTTAACGATAGAACCCTAATTGAGGAAAAAAAAACATTCAACTTCTCCATATAAACATGGCCCCATATAAATTTTTGGAACTTGAAAAAATAACGAGTTATATTTTAATTATTCAAAAAATAAAAACAAAAAGCACAAGATTTATTGAAAATTTAAGGATATTATTTAAATATATTTTTTAATTGGTAACTTGTGACAATAAGAAATCATGTTTGACAAGTCACTATATAAATATTTCAACTTCTGCTTTTCTCAAAAAAAGAAAGAATGACGAGGTTGTGTTTTAATTATTCAAAGGTATTATTTAAATACATATATGGTCTATGTCTGTTTATGTCAATTTTGGATTTTCAATTTGAATAACGTGAAGATAGTCTTCATAGAAATAAAGAAAAGTACATGGAATTTGGATTATAACAACTATGCATACTTTTGTTTCTTTCAAAAAAGAAAAAAGAAAAAAAAAAAAACAATTTGGTAAGAAAAAACATCGATACTTTTGTAAAACATGAACAAGATGCTGAATTGAATAAATAGCATTCATTTAATATTAATATAAAACTCAACCTTTAAGGATAAGGGAAAAAAAATTGTGTTTATCCAAATTTTTATTTATTTATTTATTTATTTTTCCTTTTTGCTTGAAGGTGAACGAATTGAATATGAATTATACAATATGACTTTAATATGTTATAGTTAATAAGTTTGACCAGTGACCTATATTTATAATATATATTATATATATATATATATAAAATATTAAAATATTAGGTGAACATCTATAGATGCTCCTAACAAAAATTGAAAACTCAATAATGATTTGGATGCCATGTCCACATCTTACCGTCTCTTTACCATCTCGTATTTTCTTCTCCCTTTTTAATTTTTGGTGTGCCTTTGTCACCCTGTCAATTCTTTAAATAAAATCGCTTTTGATTGTTTATTATTTCTTTCATCTTATAATTTTTATTCATACCCTTTTTTATCTATTTCAAATTATTTTTATATTTTTTTAAAGTAAATAATATTTATGTCTCACGACATAAATAAGAAAATTTTATTTTTTGGTTATTAATTACTAAATTTAATTAAACATAGATTCTTCATACAACTAAAGCTTTTTTTTTTATTCCTTTTTTTTTATTAATTACTAAATTTAATTAAACATAGATTAATTACTAAATTTAATTAAACATAGATTCTTCATACAACTAAAGCTTTTTTTTTTATTCCTTTTTTTTTATTAATTACTAAATTTAATTAAACATAGATTCTTCATACAACTAAAGCTTTTTTTTTTATTCCTTTTTTTTTATTAATTACTAAATTTAATTAAACATAGATTCTTCATACAACTAAAGCTTTTTTTTTTATTCCTTTTTTTTTATTAATTACTAAATTTAATTAAACATAGATTCTTCATACAATTATAAAACTAGTAATACTTTTAGTGGTTTTACTGCAATCCTCTTACTTTTTAAAAATACAAATATAGAGTTATAAATAATTGCATTTTTGCATCATTTGGGAAATTATTTCTCAAACCATGTTATTTTCATAATAAACCAAAATTTCAAACATTCCATCAACAACACCAAATATTATATGTTAATTTCAACATAACTTATAAGTTATAATGTTAAAGTCATTCATCATCCATAAAATATAAAAAACATTTATGTATATTAATAATTAAGAAAATAAGTGAATAATTATAACATTTTAATTTGTTGTAAGATAGTGTCTATTTTGAAAGTCACGATAGCTAATTTTTTAATGGTTTTGTTTTTGAGTAAAGCCATGAAAGCCTTTTGCCAGCTAACACATTACTTTTTCTTTTCAAAATTCAAGGAAAAAGTAAAAAGAAAAAAAAAAAAAAACTTAAACTTGAGTCATATTTATTTATCCCATTGAAAATAATTGGAATTTAAAATTTAAACCTTACCCGAAATCAAATTAAGAAAAAAATTATTGGACCTTAAGGCCTTGTATTGGTGATTGGCCAGATCCAATGGACCTCCTAGCTAAGTCCAATTAGAGTTGGGCTAACAGTACATGCAAGCCGTAGAAAGTCGAAGCCCATAATGTAATAAATATCTCAAGACTCGAGCCAATAGATTATCTTCCCGCTACCTGTTGCTAAATTTCACTCCTGTGGCTTAACTTCTTAATTCAATCCAAAATATCTTCTTCTTTTTCGCTCTCACTCACACTGCACTGTCTTCCATTTCTTCTGCCCTCAAATCTCTCTTTCTCATGTCTTCTTGTTCTTCTTTACCTCTTCCTCTAAATCCTCCTATTTCCCTTTACCATCACAAACTACACGCTTTATCTCCACTTCCATTTTTCAAGCATACATTTTCTCTCTCTCTGTCCAAATCGCATATTTGCTTCTCGTCCTCTTTACCAAACTCTCCAATACCGGACCGTGATGACATTCTCTGGCTTCGTGAAGAACAGCGGTGGCTTCGGGAGGAGCAGCGATGGCTCCGAGAAGAGCAGAGATGGCTTCGGGAGCGCGAGTCTCTCCTTGCGGAAATTCAATCGCTGAAGCTCCAAATTCAAGCCCTAGAGAAACAAATTTCGACGCAAGAAGTAGATTTGGTGCCGGAGGCGATAGCGAATGTTAGCGCTTTGTTACAGGTTTTGACGGAGAAGAATCGGATTGCGGAAAGCGGGTCGAGTTCGCGTCCAATTGTGTTAGGGGAGAAGGTAGAGGATGTGAAGGAAGTGAGTAAGGTTTCAGAGAGAGAAGAGGACCAGACGAGGAAAGCATTAAGGAAAGGAAGCGAGGGAGAGGATGTGCGAGAGATGCAGGTGTGCTCGCAATAAACACATTTCTTCTATGAATATTATGTACAAGGCGAGTTTTTATTTCTTTCTCACTGGCTTTGATTTCTTCGTGAGTGGATTTAAAATTTATTACTGGAAAATTCTGTTTGTTTTACAGGAAAATAGATTGCAACGAACTAAACAAATGTTCTATTAGGTAGAAACATGTTTGCCAAATCAATTCTAATTTTGTCTAAATGTGAAACGCTTTGGTACAGTTCCAATAAATTTAATAGATATTAAGAATATAAAAGCTCTTGGAACACATCTCCAAACGACAAAATCCTTTATTAGATCGATTGTCGTATTAAAAAGCTTTAAAATATAAAATAAAAGAGATCGATAATAATAAAAGAAAAAAGAGTCGGAGAAAACTGTTCAATGACAGAAGTCGAAGTTAATGCAGATGCAAAGTTTATTTTGCATTAGAGAAAAAGTAAAATAAGAAAAGGAAAAAGGAAAGAATCATCGATTTAGACCTTGAATTTGAGAAGGAATTTCATAGGAAATGGAGTATGAGTATGTGTGTGTTATTGGTGAGTCTTAAGTGAAACTATGGAAAAAATTAAATTTGGCTTAACATATAAATTAACACCTAAAATTTACAAGTCTAATGGGATATCTGACTTTGAAGTTGATTCATTAGATTCTTCTTTACAAAATTGTGCTTGTTGGATATAAATTTACACATTTTTCAATTTAAAGTTGAAAAGTACAATTTTACAAGTTGAAGATTTAGTGGACTAATACAAAAATTGTGGGTGCCATAGATTTTTTTTATAAAGTTCAGGTAGTAATTTATACAATGGCTAATAAATTTTCCAAATTTATAAATAATTTAAATATGATAAAATTACAAATAATTTACGAGTCAAATAAAGATAATTTAGAATGTGTGAAATAAAAACTTTCCAATTTTCCAACTCTTCACTTTCCTATGATATCTAATTATCATTAATTATTTAATTAATACAATTTAGGAAAGTTTTCTTGTTTACAATCATCCAAAATTAAAAAGACATAAAAAAAAAATCAAAATTCCATAAAATAGGAATAATTAAAAGCTAATAAAAGAAAATGTTTGAACACTCTCTTTGCTTTTGCTTCAATATGTATATGTCAGATCGTGTGAAAATGAAGGTTAACAGTAGGGGCATGAACTGTATAGCTGTATTTAAAATGGTATAGAATGTTTATACACAAAACTCGGTGGTTTCTGATACTGATACAACAAGTATTGATGAAATTAATAGTGTTTTTTGATAGCATGTTAAATATATATGATAATTTGGTCCATAACATGCAAAATACATTCTATAATAACAACATTTCGGACTATCTATCAAAATAATAAATAACAACGTGGACTTTGAAGCATGAGATGTTAGAATATGTTAACATACGATGATAAAAAATTTTTTAAATTACAATATTGGACTCCTTAATGAACAGAATTGTTTGAGGTATTTGTGTTATATATACACTTAAGCCAAAACAAATGGCAGCTAAGCAAGCAGAATTGCTTCTTCAATCGTTTTTGTAATTAACACTATGACACAAATTCAATGATGATTCACATTTGCAGATGTTGTCTCATCAAATGAATGTTGGAACATGGTGATTATTTGCATTTCTTTTGTCTACTTGTGTGCCAGGCTGAGTGAATTATGCAGAATATATGGATCAAATAAATATTAGTTTGTTCAATTATCAAAAGATTTTTGTCAATGAAATCTGGGTTTCTGTTATATTTGAAGCTCGACTCCTCGGGCACACTGTAATTAGCTCCTGAATTTTCTTGATAGTCCTGAATGACAAGCTTTCAGATTTTCTTTTTTGTTGATAATCTCATGGTCTTATTCATGGAGGTTGTTTTTTTAGGTGTGGTAAAAGCTACAGATACACAACTATGATTGGTGAATTTTGTTTCGATAAAACTCTTCTCATTTAGGATTTTTAAAGCTTATGTGCTGCAATAACTCTGTTGAATACATGCAAAATGATTGTATCTTGTTTTGATCTCTCCTTCTGTGAACACGTGGTATTCCAGGAAGCATTACAAAAATTGGGGTTTTACTCAGGTGAGGAAGACATGGAATATTCCAGCTTCTCAAGTGGGACCGAGCGTGCAGTGAAGACTTGGCAAGTAAGTGTTAAATTGCCATTGTGTTACTTCATGTAGATAGAAAATTGTTAAGAATGTTAGTTTGTAATGTTGTGATGCCCGTGTAAACACACATTCACTCAGGCTTTTGTCTATTTAGCTTATGCGTTTGATTTAAAGTCGAATCAATTTATTTACATGAGCTTGCTTGACAGGCAACACTTGGTACCACTGAAGATGGGATAATGACTGCAGAACTCCTTGACAGGCTATATATGGAGCAACAAATTCAGGGGGGTACTAGATCAAACGTTAGCATAGATCAGAAAGAAAGCACTTTAACAGTTTCACGGAAGGTACTTCAAATCATTTGGGCCTGTTGGGTGTGAAACTTATTTCTTCATCTAGACAGTTTTGAAGGGGTAGCATGTCAATGGCTCAATGCATAACCCTATCTCTTGGCACTTGAGATTTTGCTTTTTAAATAGTGTAAACATTATGGTTTTTTTAGATTCCCTTCAGACTTGGAGTCATTATTTTAAAAAATGAGATTGAGAAGAAAGTGTCTATATTGGATGTATATGCTGCAGACTTACAGGACCCAGCTGCAGTCTTGCTGGATCTTTTAGGCGGTTAATCTTCAAGAAATCAAGTGATGCATCCAATGTTATTGTTTCCTTTCTGAAGAAGCATTTTGAGTAATCATTGCTATTTATGTCATTTATGGACCTAAAATTGGCCATCTTACTGAAGGTCAAGGTGTGCAAGTGGAACCAAATAATTGGGCATGTGGCTTTCAATTTGACTTTGGAACCGAAATTTGAGAAATATAGTTCCTTGTTTGACGGACTAGTCATTATGATGGAAAATTTCATTCATATTTTATATTTCCTACAAATGTGAAGTTATGTCTTATTTTCAGATCAGCCTGACTTTGTGTGCTGGAGACATTGTTGAAGCAGCAGTTATACTTGAGTCCATGTGTAATGCCATGCTAGAACACATGCCAAAATTTATAGCACAAAGTTGCTGTCAGTCTTTTGTTCCACTTAGTTGCTCCATTGGTTACAATAATGTGTATGCTTATCCATTTGCATCATTAAATGGTGCTTATGGTGCTTGTAACATAGATTTTTAGGATCCATCTTATGTATACATTCAAATGCATGCATATTGTGGTAAAATTTTCTCATTTCACATGATCTTGGCAATGGCTGCTTGTTCTGAATACTGGTAGGAGGAAGAATATCACACATTAGATTTTATTCCGAGCGATATCTTTCTTTTCTTTTTTTTTTTTCTCTCCTTTTGAAATTGTGCTTAACGTTAAATGATTGATTATTTGTAGCTTTTTTTTCTTTTTTTTTTTTTTCCTATCAGGCACTAAACTATTGGTTACTTAAAGACAGAGTAAGAATATAAAATGTGTCAATGTTTTCTTGAAACACGCGGCTGACTTTTCTGAAACACTCTGTTTCTCAGGAAGGTGCCAATGGAGCTGCTGTTACTTCTGTAACCGAAATATCAGAAAAACAGCACAAAGTTGTTAAAGAAGAAGGTGCAACAGAAGTTGAGGTATCTCAACATCGAGTATTTCTCCTAGGGGAGAATCGATGGGAGGAACCCTCTAGGCTTATTGGCAGAGACAAACATGTTCATGTGAGCAAAACCAAGGAGACCACGTCAAAATGCCTTTCCTGCCGTGGGGAGGGCCGTCTATTGTGCACAGGTACATGCCGATGACTAATTTTGCAGTTTAAGAAGATACTACATTCTTTTGTTCTGGAAATTGGTATATGATTTATATAACTATGCATGGCAACTCACAAAGTGGAGTTTTTTGCCTCTTGAATTGTAATGTTGACAAATTAGCCTTTTTCTATTGCAGAATGTGATGGGACGGGTGAACCTAACATTGAGCCTCAGGTATGAGGATCTCCATATACTCAATATGCTTTTTCTTTTTCAGAATTATCGTAATTTCAAGCATCCTATTCAACATAGGCCTCACAAGTGGGTATTTTGCGCAGTTCTTGGAGTGGGTAGATGAGGGAACAAAGTGTCCATACTGTGAAGGCCTCGGATACACAATTTGTGATGTATGTGAAGGAAAAACAATGATATAGGTATGATGCTTTTTATCCATACTTCGATCAACATGCAATATATTATATTTCTGAAATATAAGTAGTTATTGCAAATATCTTAATTCACTCTTTTGGTTCATATTTTGTCAAACAGCCAGACTACATGATACAAATGATTTTTTTTGGTCCATCAACAAAGTGATGATTGGCATGAACTTGACCCAATTGTCAATGACACAGGTCCTTTACGCGGATAAGCGATTATCTATAGACGTATTGGTGGATGGCACGTTATAAGAAGTTTGGATTTTACTTCTGATATAACTATACTTTACTGTTGCAACCACAGAGGAGGCTGGTATTGCTGTCCCATCCAATCCCCCAGTTTAATGGGTTCAAGTAGTGAATAAACAGTTCTAAGATGGGTTTGATTCGATTTTAACGGATTCAAATAGTGAATAAATGGACTTATGACGGGCTCAACGAGTAATATTTTTATTACCTATATTGGGATGGATTCAAGAACTCGGGTATTTACTACCCGTTTAATAAATATTTAAAAAAATTATTTTTAAAAAGAATTTATATGTAGACACTTTTTAATTATAATTAATGCTATAATTATATTTTAATATTTATATTATATTTTTCATCAAGTCAAAATATTAATTTCATAATTTTTTATTTACTTTTTATTTTTAAAAATAAAATATAAAAATATTTTTAATGTAGTTAAATGGGCTACGATATTTGAATGAATAACTATAATCAGATTTTGGAACGGATTTGAGTAACAAAAATGAATTTTTCTAAACGGGTTCAGGTATTTGATTTATAATTGCATTTGGTTAGTTCATTTTTAAGAGGGTACTTGATCATTGCCCTGTCCGCGTGAGATAATAAACTGATGTTAAATCAAGAAGAGACTTAAATTATTTAAATAATATATTAATTAAATTATGCAATACAAAATATAATTAAATAAAGTTTATAATTTTGTGAGCCAGCGAATCGTTTTAGGACTACTCTTCCACCACCACAAATGAAATGTATTCTGTTCATACTCACAGGAGATAACACAGCTGAATATCACCTAACAAATAAATTTACATTGTTTCAACCTGAAACTACTGCTGATGTAATATTTAAAAAAACAAGCATGCTTTTATTAGAGCAAAAATCACTGAAAGGAGTATTCTCATATTCTGCCTGGTCCTTAGTAAATATGGAATATGAACACCGGAATGTCGCATCACTTAGTGTAATCATACTTGGAACTTTTTTTACTTGCCTACATTTTATAGATTCGTCTTTGGCTTGTTACCGGCAGTAACACGCCTCGACAATGACCGCATGGTCACAAATTCCTCGGCAGCAGAAGGGTGTATTCCGACCTGTGTGAAAAAGGTGAAAAAAAATAAAAATATATATTACTTCCCTACATTTTATAGATTCCGTCTTTGCTTGTTTACCTGGGCAGTAACACGCCTCGACAATGACCGCATGGTCACAAATTCCCTCGGCAGCAGAAGGGTTGTAATTCCGACGCTGCTGTGAAAAAGGGTGAAAAAAATTAAAAATATATATATATAAAAAAATAAAAATATATATATATATATATATATATTAGTAATGCACGATGGGGCTTTGGGGAAATAACTTTCCTATAATTTGAAGCTATAGATGGCCATAAAAATGTGTTTGGACATCACTATAAGTCCGCAACTCATCCCAGAAAGAAGTGCATACCGTGCTGTCAAACTGAGCCTTTGTAGCTCCAGATTTTATTGCAACTGCAATTCCCTGCGAAGCATACAAATGAAAATTGAAAACTGAATGCATAGAGAAGAAAAATATAAAACGAGGCGGATGATGCCATAGGTGGAAAAATTCAATCACATAGTTTCTCCACCAGCAGACCAGGTCTGAGCATTATAATTTAACAATTTGGCGATTAGGAAGTTAAAGCATGCAAGGTCCATTCCACTATGAACAATTACTTTATGGCCAAGAAAGCAGTTATATATGGCATATCCACAATATATTTATCAGAAGAACCATGAATAAAACTAAACAAAAAAGAAAAAATTACCTGTATAACTTCAGGAGCATCTGGCCCACACATGGAGGCTCCAAGTACTTTATCAGTCGCAGCATCAACGACAAGCTTCATCACTGTCTTCTCTTGCCGTCTAGAAAGCAAAGACAAAAGAAATGAGAAATGGCTTTGAGAATGAAGAGCTAAAATATACATAATTGACTAGTAAAACAAAATAAGAGATCGGAGTTCAAAATTAGTTGAAACTATGCTATTCTGAGTCAATAAGAGGTTCCAAACTACCTATTGTTTTGAGATATTTCAATGAATAATGGGTAAGATATTAGTAGTATTATTACTTGCTAAGTGAAAAAAGGATTCCTATTTATAGTGTAGCACATACCCAGAGATAGTATTCTTCATGGGATTGAAGCTTGAAGTGAACACCAATATATCATCTTTTGCCTGTTCTATTGCCTGCTCTTCACTGAGGCCTACCACAGAAAGAGGTGGTATACTGCAAACCAGAAAATCATAAATTATTTGTTCGTGGATAAATTCAAATAGACAACAAACAGGGCCACCATCTTTTTCTTACGGGCTTCAAAATTTTAACAAACAGATTAGAAATGACTACCAAATAACACCGTATCAACCACACACTCAAATCCCAGTCCGGAAAGAGCATTGTTAAACTGGGGCTAAGGAAAACATGGTTCGATCATTTGAACAATGCAGTAGCTATGGAAATTATGCACCTGATGTGACAGAAAAAATACAAAAACAGGAATCCCCATTGTTCATCTTACTGCAGCTACAATATCATTATTCATCTTCAGAAAATAAAAGAAAACAGTCATCTAAATGCAGGCGATGGCTTCATGCTTCATCATGGTGAGATGCAAAATTAATTGACTGATTGATTAAATTAACTTAAGAGTATATTCTTAAACAAATGCACCACAAAAGCAAAAACTTAAGGTAATGAAATAAATTGCATAGATACTAGTAATCAAAACCATCCAAACAATAGAAATAAGTTCAAATCATGACTCTTAAATTATGCAAGTCTCCTTTTTAGCCAGCTTGCAGCATTTACTCCAAAGATTTGTACATGTATAAGGTTATTAATCAAACCATCCAATGTTCAGTCATTTATCTATTTGAACTTGGAAATTTGTAGTTAAAAGGTTGCAAACCTCCACTTAGAAGCAGCTCTTACACTGTTGAGAAATTGAACTTTGAGATTCTTTGCTACAATATGAATCATATCACCAACCACTACAAATGTATAATTGCAAAAACTTAGATTTCCAGTTAAGAAGAGGCGATATCTTCCTTTTTCAATGTGCACAGCTTGCCAACAATATTGGAAGCTTTCCATTTCTAGATTTGGTGGTTGCAGCAGATAAAATGACAAACCAAATCACCATCGTAGGTGCAGTGCACATCTGCTTTTAGAAACCATCGTTATCATTGCCACCATATCAACAGAGGCTAAAGAGGTGTCAAAAAGGATCCATATATGGAAGCTCATTTGAACAAATGGTCATATGGCACAGCATAAGGTATCACTCTGATTCAAGTTCTAAATATGAAGAAATCTATAAGTAGGGCCAATTATTCTGGACACTGCATGTGTTTTCAAGATGTAGTCACTAGAGCCACCTCATCCATTTTCAGTACAATTCCATTTAATCAATGCAATTATTAGCAATAGTTCAAAAGAATTCATCAAAAGAAAGAAGACCCCATGAGTTCGGAAGTGAAACAATTACCTAAAAACGGCGCATGGTATATCCTTATAGTCTGGTTTGCTAGGTTGCCCACCAAAAACAGTTTTCTGCAGGCCAAAAAAAGAAAATGAACATTGAGAATCCTAGAACTTATTATTGGGGGAAAACAGTAAGAAGCAAAACAAACTTAATGGAGACTCCATGAAACACATACTGCAAAGCATGTTCCTTCCATTAAGGCCACAGGGGTAAGATTCATTCGGTTTGTGACATCACCAATAGCATATATGCTAGGTACATTGGTGCATGAGTACTCATCAACCTGAAGAAGAAAGACAATAAGATGAGAGATGTTATGACTTGTGTGGATATAAAAAAAATTACAGTAGATATTGCATGTGCAGTTTTACAACGCCCCAGTACTGTACTGTGTGTTAACTTGCTAATAGATGAAAAGAAAATTCAATTAACAGAACAACAAGAACAACAACTTGAAAGCTTAAGTTCTTGTTTGTGGCCTTAGATATGAAAGAGAGAAATCAAAAGATGACAGAAGTAAAAACTATAGACCTTAATAGCTCCCGCACTATCAAGCTCCACGCCAACAGCTTCCAAATTTAACCTCTTTGAGTTGGGTGCCCGACCTGTAATAAATTAAAGAGGAGTGCCACCATAAGTACAAGCTGACAACAATATAAAAAAACACAGAAAATGGAGGGACCTTCCAATAGGTTGAAGATTAAAAAAAAAAAAAAAAACACTAATGTTTAGATAGAATGCCACCAGTAAAAATTTTGCAGAGAAACAGAAGTGTTGATCACATTACTGTTGCAAAATCTCTGGAACACATTAATGAAAAATTTAACATTACCAGTAGCAAAGAGTACAACATCTGCCAATAATTCTTCTCCATGATCAGTTAAAGCTATTATGCCATTCTCAGTTTTGGTCAACTGTATAATGGGATTATGATTAGCATAAGGTTAACTATAAATCAAACAGTATAAATTGAAAAGAAAGAGACATATAGCAAGAGGTAGAAACAAATAGGATGAAAGTGAAATTAATGCAATATAGCATTGATGAGAAACACCAAGAAATTTAAGTACCTGTGTCAAAGTCGTCCTAGGGTGCAAATTTATTCCCCTGCCTTCCAGATTTCTTGCAACCACTGCTCTCATCTCATCATCAAAACCTCTGCAAGGATAAATTGGCCTAGTCAGATCAGAGTGAAACCTAAAAACAGAGCCTGAGAAAGTTTCTTATTTGCAATAACTAGCAAATCAGATAGGCAACATAATTGAACACAAATAACTACACATCATATGAAAAACTATCTTCAAACTATCATAGGATGCCAATAGAAGGGACTTCTTGGGAAGTTGAAACCAAAATGATCAGCGGGTTTGGAAGAATAAAATTACCAGAAAGCAGAGCAATGTATCCATAGTCAAATAACATATTCTTTCCATTGTTTACTTACAAGAACATGATATATAGGCTGCTATCCGTAACAGAAATTCAAGTACTATCTCACACTTATGTGATTCCAATTACTAAACCACACCGTGGTTCACTACCAATTTGTCAAAGGCTTGGGCCTAGTTCTTATCCACTTCAGTAACAGCGCAAAACAAAAGAATTAGGCATGCCAGGATAGTAATTATTAATGAGTGATCCAGAAAGTACACAAGTTTCCAAGGCAAGTGCCTTTTACTTTGAAAATATTCCAAGAAATGCAAATAGTCACACATCCAAATTCGTAAATTTCCAATTCACCATAAACTTCCGATAAACAATTGAGATTTGAAACCCGAGTCTCTTTAGCATTTCCTCTAAAATTCAACATAAAACTTGCTTGATAAATTTACTTAAAACAAAATACAAACAAGTCAGAGTTACCACATTAGTAGCTTAATTTTGAACAATCAAGGCCCTAACCTTAACGGAAGTTCCTTTCTGAAAACTAAGTCCACAGTAGCACCCATGCCGCGCCATATTGAAGCAAACTCAACAGCAATGTACCTAAACAAGAAAGCAATAAACATCCATGTGGCATGGCATGCTAAGCAAACAAATAACACCATAGCTTAAGAGGTAGAGCTTTACCCTCCACCAAGAACAACAGCACGCTTGGGCATCTCTTCTAGACTCAATGCCTCATCAGAGGTTATAGCCAGCTCCTTAATTATCAAGAAAATGAGTAAGGCAAAAGCAAGCGAGTAAGAAAGAAACACGGTCAAATCAAATGCATAGACTATAGTAATCAATTAGGTGCAAAAGCCAAGACTGTTAAATACAATTTGGTTACCTAGTTATTCAGAAAATCCAACATGCAATGAGTATCAATCATGAATGAAGAGAACCAAGAAAAATTACCTGGCCAGGAATATTAGGACGTTGAGCTCTACTTCCAGTTGCAATCAATATGTGCTTTGCTGAGTAGCTCAATTTAGTACCATCTAGTTGTGTCACCTCAACTTCATTTGGACCAACAACCTTTCCCCCTCCTTCAAATAGTTTAACTCCCGCATTAGATAGTAACCGCTTGTAAATTCCATTTAACCTCATTATTTCATCAGTCTGCAATTTTGACAAATAGAAAAGATGAACAACATACAAGCATTTACTAGCCCATTCAAATTTATCATCAAGACTTGGGCCAAAAGAGTCAAGCCATCCTATAGGGAGTAGAAAATAAATCTAATGTCACAGAAAGTAGAATCCTATAGAAATGTAATGTCCCCAAAAAGCTATGTAGCCTCACCTCAACAGAGATTTGTCCATATGGAGCCTCATACTCCAAACTTTATGGATAAATCGAAGCTAAGACTTACCCCAACTAAAATCTTGCAGCCAAGCACACCGATTCAATTTGGCATTCTAATGTGACTCAAAGAGTCACCATTGCAATGTGCACTTTTAATGGACAACTAGTTAAGATGAGATATTTAATAGCCCAGTATCAAGCAGACCAAGCACCAGTAACTGGTCCAACACCTCACAATTAATACTTGGTTTCAAACAAGAGAAGAGACTTAAATGAAAGGAAGTGGATCTTCCCCCTTTGGCCTTCTAACAACAAATGGGAAATGAAGGCAAGTGGATGGGAAGTTTAGGGGGGAAGATCTTGTAGGACACACTTGCAATCACTCCAAATGATATGCAGAATCAAAAATGGAAATGGAGAAATTTACTATGCCTCATGCCACTAGTCGTCATTTGAATTTTTTTTTTTTTCTTTTTTTCAAAATAAAATATAGCATTAGAAAGGGATACTACAAGACATTGACAACCATCACATATAATAGCCATAATTAAAACATCTACCTACCTTCTTGTGCAAAAGTTTTTTCCAGTTGAAGTTCACGTTTTCATTTATTTCCCATCCAAAATTCCTGGCATCCTACATAATCAAAAGCATACATCCATTAAACTACTCATATTAGCAGCCAAACTAACATACACAAAAAACACGTATGTAACTCACAAATATAAAATAAAAGCACACAACAAATCTACATATAAGCAAAAACTGAATCACATCCTAATTCCTTCTCCTCTAAAGTCTGGCACATAAGGACAATTTTATTGGCTAAACAGCAGCACAGTAAGAGAGCTTGAAACAAGTATGCTAGTTAAACTTCAATCCTCAATATATTCCCCTGAAATAAAAAGTTCTAAAGTCCAAAACAAAATTGGAAGAAAAGGTAATTTCAAATGCGACGTGTCAAACTCCAACTGCAAGGTGGACTCAATCTTTTTGAAAAATTAAACTAAATAGTGAATCTCACAGCATGTTTAACATAGAAAAAGAATTAAACTACATCCCAATGTCAACAAGCTTAGATAACCATGAAGGCTCTGAGAGAGAAGAAATTCGTTAATTGATGAGAATTCAAAAGCAAACTCAAGCAATGTGATTCTAATAAATTTCACATTCTTACCTCAATATCACCTCCAAAAGTGGCTCCATACACTAAAATCTTCTTGGGAACACAGCCGCGGAGGACACACCTATAGAAGCAAAATGTAAAAAATCAAAGAACATAAGCAATTGAAATCAATTACAGTATAATCAGTGTCTAATTTTCTGTCAAACAAAAAAAAGAATTGAAATTCTATGCACTTGAAGTTGCACAACCAACAAATGGTTCATATGCTAAAAATTCATCAACGTCCACACCACTCTACATATTTTTTTTCTTCTAATATTTGCATAATTGTAATCTAAGAAACCTGTATCTAGCACATTTGTGACATTTTCAAAATGTAATGTTTTTGTGTACTGCTATTGCAAATGTTTAAATTCTTTATCTCAATAAAAACTTACGTTCCACCAACTCCTCCAGCTGTGTCTGAGCTGATTGGGTGATAAGGCAGCTCACAAATCCCAACCTTGAAACATGACATGAAAACAAATAGTGCTCAATCAACCATCAAATACAAAATGAATAAATACATTAGGCTAAACAGTAACAAAAGCATAAAAAATCACACAAAAGGACATGATCAAAATTTCAGAAGGCATATACCTTTTTGGCCCCATAATTAGCCGAAAACCTAGAAGCACGAACACCACCGCTTCCAGCTCCAATGACGAACAAGTCAAAATCATAGTTGGTCTCCTCTTCATTGGAGTGATTCAGCTCTCCATCGATAAGCATTTTCCTTGCCATGATTTCAAAATGAGTTGAACTGAATTCACGCAAAAACCACTTTATCACCGAACAATTTAATAAAACCACACACACACAAAAAAAAAAAAAAAAAAAAAAAAAAAAAAAAAAAAAAGCTGTGTCTGAGCTGATGAGGTGATAAGGCAGCTTCACCAAATTCCCAACCTTGAAACATTGACAGTTGAAACAAATAGGCTTCAATCCAACCATCAAATACAAAATGAATAAATACATTAGGCAAACAGTAACAAAAAGCATAAAAAATCACACAAAAGGGACATTGATCCAAAATTTTCAGAAGGCATATACCTTTTTTGGCCCATTAATTAGCCGAAACCTTAGAAGCACGAACACACCGCTCCAGCTCTCAATGACCGAACAAGGTCCAAAATTCATAGTTTGGTCTCCTCTTCATTGGAGTGATTCAGCTCTCCATCGATAAGCATTTTTCCTTGCCATTGCATTTCAAAAATGAGTTGAAACTGAATTCACCAAAAAACCACTTTATCCCGAAACAATTTAATGAAACCAAACACACCCACACAAAAAAAAAAAAAAAAAAAAAAAAAAAAAAAAAAAAAAAAAAAAATCATATGCTTATATCGCTCTGGTCACTGGTCAGTAACTGTGTCCCAGCAAGATATGTTTAGGTTAAGAGCAATCGAACAAAAAAGATAAGCGCGCATAGAAAATTCTCAATCAAATATAAGCAAACTCCATTAGAATACGAGGTTAACAACAAATGCAACGAGCCAAACAAACAATCACCGTCTACGACTACTGGAGATAGAGTTAAAAGGGATTCATAATAAGAAAAACAATAATAAGCAGTGGCGGAAATGAAGTTCCCGATCCATTTTCCAGCATTTTCTCGGGAAAGAAAAGCAAAATAACAAGGATCATACCTTTGCCTAAACTAGCTTTCTTCTTCTTTGGAAATCGATTTGCTATTAGCTGAACGGAAAAGATGAGCTTAGGGTTAAAGTGAAGTAGAGTAAGATTTATATCGAGGTACAAGCTTTTGTTTGGGTTTGGAAGATCAGTTAGGCGCCAGCCAGGAGGATAACAGGGGACTGTGGAAAAATATTTATGGGCGCTGCCGGGTATCGCACTCGCCACCGTGCGACTGCATCATAACAGGGGATATTTTTGTAATTTGATATAATAAATTTTTTTAAATATAGAGTTTAGCTTTTTAGTTCATTTTTCGATTTGTTCTTTAATATATTTTTTATTATTCCTGAAATTTACTTCAATATATTTAATATATTCTTTATATTTATTTATTCATCTTTTGTTTATATGATGATTTTTCCAATTACATCATACACATTCTATAGTTACACTTTAAATATTAAACATGATATAATTATATAACTTTGATTTTATATATTCAAACATGATTTTTAATATTTAATTTTCATAAATTATTCAATTATTAATTTGTTTATTTGTTATCCGAATTGGTTTCCTCAAACAACAAAAATAAGGTAAAGAGAAGTAACTTCTTGATTTTGGCTTTGACTTATTGAACCACTTGTTTTTTTTTTTTTTTTTTTTTTTTCACTTGTTTTTTTTTTTTTTTTTTTTTTTTTGGCCTTTTTTTTTGTTTTTTACACCGTTGTGTATGAACGCTCAACCTCGTGGTTTTTCATTTAATAAATGGAAGTCAGGTCCAAATCGTTCATTTTGATAGGAACCAGCAAAATGCCCTTATTTCTCCGCTGGCATCAGGGATGACGTGAGATTAACAACAGCGTTGAGAGCGTACGAGTTAGGTACAAGTCTCCAAGTTTTATTATTCTTATTTTTTTTTTTTTTTTTTTTTGGCTTTTTTTTTTTTTTTTACACCGTTGTGTATGAACGGTCAACCTCGTTGGTTTTTCATTTTAATAAATGGAAGTCAGGTCAAATCGTCATTTTGATAGGAACCAGCAAAATGCTATTCTCCGCTGCATCAGGGATGACGTGAGACTTAACAAAGTGAGGGTACGAGTAGGACAAGTCTCCAAGTTTTATATTCTTATTGCAGAAAACTATATATTTACTTATTATTTCGATTGTTAAAATTTTCTAGATATTTTTATAATATATTTTTTATTTTTATTATTTAAAATTTAATAATATCAATCTTCGAGACAAATGGATGACTCACAATTTAAAATTTTTTGCTTGTATAAATATAAAATTTTTATATAGTGAATTTTTTCAATTTTGCTCACAAACTTTCAAAATTTTTTCCCTAACTATTCTTCTGGTTCAGCGGGAGTGACGATAATGAGATTACTGACACGATACATAATATAAAGATTCCATGTTCAATTCCTTCCCTTAATTCAAAAATGAATTTGCTTACAAACAACATTAATAGTTTAATTTTAATAATAATGCTCGAGATGGGAGAAAATATAAATAAATTGGAAATCCTACCTGTAAGTGGCAAATTGCACAAGTAGCTTGATTGTTGGATTGGGAAAAAAAAAATAAAATGATTAGATTATAAGACTGTATATGTACTTTTTAAATAACTACCTTTTAATAAATAATAAATAAAAATTAGAGTAATCAACAAGTTCTCTATTTCTAAGTCAGAGCCAAAGCTTCGAATAGTGGGATAAAATGGAAAAGCAAAATTTGAATACGTTAGTTAATTTTCCCTAATGAACTCGTTTTGACCCAATAAGGCAGCAAGAGATTATGTAGAAGTTCTCGTTCCCATCCACACTGGCTAATGAATGGAGACGTCATTTGCTGTATTGTTCATACATCGGTCATCATCTAGTTAGTACTACTACGACCAACTTTTCTAACCTTTTATTTAATGTAAATAAATTTAAAACACGAAATCCGTTTATAATTCTTTAAATTTTAATTTAATTATATTAAATTTTATGAAGTATAATGTGAAGAATAACATGAACATTTTTTCATACCATAAATATATTAAAGTTCAACTTTTACCTACACGGGACATTATGGACATTTTAAATATGTATAGCTGGCACAAATTATGCCAAAACTATTTATCATAGAAATTATTGGGAAATGATAACACCTAGTTTTGGCTCTTTAATTCTTTCAGATAAGCGACACATCAAGCAAAAAAGCAACAAAATTCCAACATCTCGGGACCACCGTCATGTGTGATGGGAGATAAAAAGCTGAGTGATACCAAATTACCAATCAATCAATAGTATCATGCAGATCACTATCAACCGTGAGAAGTGGGCAAATTGGCCTGGAGCTCTCTCCTCGAAATGATATTTGATGGACAAACATATCTACGTAAAGTATCGACGCTCATCCTACGACAATTCTCAAACCTCCTAATCCTCCAACCTCCTATCCTCAATTTTCGTGCTTTCAGTGGGTTTAGTATTTCCAGCAATTGCAATATACCAAAACAAGGATTTGAGATGACAGTGAACCAAAGTGAAAAACAAAACTCCGACTATGGACACGGGCATAAAAACGGGATTTTTTTTTTTTTCACAATAAAAACAAGACAGACAGACAATTGATCGAACAGTGTGAGAGACGGTGATTTACAATAATTATCTTCAAACCTGAAATCCTGCTCCTGTTGTCGACTTGTCTTTGTTAATCATAAGCCAACTAAAAAACCACTAATAAAGTACATGAAAAGGGTAAAGGTAACAGAAACCACAGCTCCATCACTGAAGTTTCAAGGCATCAAATAAATCGTGATTTAGAAGAAACAGGATTTTTTTTTTCCATCTATGCTTCTATCTTCTTAGCTGAGAAGTTGCAATGCTTCCTCGTGTTTTTACAATAATATCAAATCAAGGATTCATTAGAATCTCATCAAACACCACACGTACCAAAATGCATTCAAAATTGTTCTTTTTGTTCTCAGTAGAACTTGAATGTCCTAAATTTTAGTAAGTATGATGTACCTTAAACTGACAAGTAAATTTTAAGTAGACTCTTTTTTCCAACTAGGACCTTAAAATCTCACATATAGTTAGAAGTATTCAGCCTGTACTAATACAATAAGGAATAAAGATTAGATTTTCATAAAAAAGAATATTACACGATGACAAAGAAAGACTCATCCTATACCATGTAACTAAATGCCTACCAAGGTATTAGCTTTTATTGCCCGTCTTAAGAAAGAGACACCTCTCCCAAAACCTCTCCCAGTTTCTTCTTCTGGAAGGGTAATTGGGAAAAGGTATCAAAGATTTTAGTGAAACATTTTTTTTTTTTTTACAAAGATGAAGGAACTTACATGGCATGCTTAGCATGCGCAATTGAAGACAGACTTTCCAAAGCACTTGGCTTTAGTTGCAATCTTTCTGACCCCCATTTCATGAAGAGAGAATCTTGTGCTAGGAGACAGGAGAAGTCTGTCCATTATGTTGATCTTTGGAGCCTCAAGAATTGCCTTAGGAAGTGATAATGCCCATTGCATGCTCCAAATTGCTAGTGGTCTCATATAAATGAGGGAACGGAAGTGCCCATCAATCGTCCAGCCCTCTGGTGTCTGGAACCAGTATCTGTAATTGACAGAAAGATAATCAATTCAGTGATCATCAACCATTACTGAAAGCAAGTCAATATCCTAGAAACACAGTTGATACATGCATTAGATGCATAGAGATTCACCATTATAAGAAAAACAGAGCACTACTGTTCCATGTGTCGTACTGTTAGATGTACTATCATACACGAAATCAATCTGGGTACAGCAGTTCTGGAATGGAATTTTGATATTAAACAAAAGCTACAAAACATAGCCATTAAAATAAACAAATGATCACTCGCTTGCTTCCTTCTTGGGTATGAACCCACTCATATGCCAAACCAATAGTTTGCCATTTTAAAAATTCTCACTTATTTACTATTTTGTTCTCTTTTTTTTTTTTTTTTTTTTTTAAGTGTAAAATAAACAAATGTTGTACATCACTCTGCTGTGACTTCCTTCTTGGGTATTGAACCACTCAACTGCCTAAGACCCCAATGAGTGTTTGCCGATTTAAAAATTCTCACTCTAATTTACTATTTTGTTTCTTCTTTTTTTTTTTTTTTTTTTTTTCAATGAGAAGACACCGAATGCCAAAGATTAGCTTCTTAGTGTATGTGGTAGACCCAACACACCACAAATACGCGTAACTATTGCCCTTTATTGGTTTACAATTAAAAGATAAACCAAGATATAGTAGGTAAGAAAATCAAGATGATTTATTTGTTCTCTGTTATAATAAGTCAGAAACTCTTAAATTTATATTTCACACAAAAGTAGCGTGCCACAATAAAAAGAACTAATCTAGCAATAATTTTCAAGATTGTTGTGTTAAGGAACTTACCTGCAAAGTATCCCTTCTCTGACCAAACCTGCAAGAAAATGCCCTCCCAGCCAGATATGTGAATGCCTCATCCTCCATTCCAGCAAGAATCATGTTAGCACCACAGCAATACGCGTGACACAGTCATATTTCTCGTTTGACTGCATAACAAGTATTCCATCCACACTTCTCCGATTGGGATGCATTTCCATTTACAGTCCACCCTATCATCTGATTAGCTCTCCTTGTATGCATCGAACTCACCCTGAGAGCAGACCTACCTGACACGCTCCTACTACGTCACATCGCGTAACTCGCTACCGCTATCTCACGTCCGCACACCTGAATAACCAATACCGCCCTAGCAGCCTAATCTTAGACGCAACACGCGGTCTTTGCGCCGCGATCTATCAGGGCGACACTGGCCGAACATCGACTCCGTACGGACTACGCAATCTGCTGGATGTCTAGCACTTACTCGTATATCGACGCGAGTACATATCGGTATACCTTACAGCCACCTGCCGCGCCCCATCCCGAAGGTTTAGTACGGAGACCTCTATTACGTCTCAGACGCTATCGCGATGGACACTTTGCACGCCACTCTCCCTGCTCATTGTACCGCTCTGCACACGTCCCCCAGCTCGAACAGCGGCTCACTCAGACCCGACTCTGTCCGCAACTACGAGGCGCTATCATCCTCCAGACACCCCAAACAAAGGGAGCCACTCCATCTTTCCGTTTCTAACTCGCTCTGTGAAAGCCACAGAGACTATTACTCCTGAGCATAGACAAGCACAGACCGCTGCACTGTCACCGAGAACTGAATATATCATCTCGCGTCTTAGGACCTAGCCCATTTCCGTAACAGATAGCGCACTGCTACAGCTTCGCCAGCCCTCATACAATCGTCACCTACTTAGCTATGCCATGTTACACGCTCGGTGCCCGTTGCCGGACCCTCAATAGTTAAGGTTCCTCGCTTCGATCGGCACGCCATTCCCAACCATATCAGCACACGACGTCAGTGTCCCTTTACCTCCTTTAACTCTTCATTAACATAAAATTTCATCAAATTTTTTCTGGATGCACTTATCTAATGTTTTGGAATCATCCAAAAAGCGAAATGTTAGGCGTGCGTTTTTTTTTTTTTTTTTTTTTTTTCAATGAGAAGACACCGATGCCAAAGATTAGCTTAGTGTATGTGTAGACCCACACACCAGAAATAGGTAACTATTGCCCTTTGTTTAATTGAAAAATAAACAAAGATATAGTAGGTAAGAAAATCAATGATTTTTGTTCTCTGTATAATAGTCAGAAACTCTTAAATTTATATTTCACACAAAAGTAGGTGCACAATAAAAAGAACTATCTAGCAATAATTTCAAGGATTGTTGTGTAAGGGAACTTACCCATATCCCTCCTCTGACCAACCTGCAAGGAAAATGCCCTCAGCAGTAGTGAATGCCTCATCCTCCATTCCAGCAAGAATCATGTTAGCAGCCACAGCATAGGTGACACCAGTCCATATTTCTCGTGACTGCATACAAGTATCATCCACCTTTCCATTGGGATGCATTCCATTTACAGCACCCATCTTACCTCCTTTAACTTTCATTACATTAAAATCATAAATTTTCTGAAGAGCACTTCTAATTTTGGAATCATCAAAAAGCGGTGGCAAGCCTGAAGATGCTGTGTACCATTGCCCAGCCAATTGATCTGCCTGTATGGATTTACTGTTACTACTTGATCCACTGTCATAATTGAAATATGAACCATTCCATAACTTAGCTTCAAATGCTGATTTTGCTTTCACAAATTTGCTTTTGCATAATTCACCAAAATACTTGTCACCTACTTGAAAGGCCATTGCAGCTGCAGCTTGAAGTGCTGCGAGCCATAAACAGCCACAGTAAGCACTTATACCATGAACTGTCCATGTATCATATGTTTGATCCGGGAAGCCATCATTTTCAATCAAAGCATCATCATCCCTATCAAATTGTTCCATGTACTCCATGGCAGTTCGAACTGCAGGCCACACATCAACCCCAAAGGACATGTCCTGTGTAGCAGCAAAGTCTCTATACACCTGGAGCACAAACTTCGGGTTCAGATCCTTCCACTTGCTTGTATCATGTATATTGTATGCATTCATTTCATTCCAGGGATCATGTGTTCCAAGATCATGAGGGACAGCTCCTCTGACCTTCCGGATTCCAACATTACCCTCTGCCAGAAACTTCACTTTTCTTCCATCCTCAGATAGCACAGCTTTAGCAAAATCACGCTGAATACTGAGTTCAATTTTGGGAAACAATTCGAGGAGGGCAAAGGATGCATAGAAGTGAACATCATATGTGCACCACATGATATATTCTACTCCTTCCAAATACAAAAACCTACCAACATCATCATCATCACTGTTATTCTGGGTTTCCAGTAATGGGGAATGCTGTAACGAGTGGCTGAAGTTTCCATTCTCCTGAGACCCTGGTGATTCATCTTTGCTCGGATATTGTATATTTGATGTTTCACTTTCTTCTTCAGAATCAACACTACCGACATGATAACTATTAGTTATAGCATGCTTGACTGCACCTTCGCCGGGTCTCACTTGGGCTTCAATTGCATTGACATCCACAGTTTCTGTTTCTTCTGACGTATGATGGCTCTCACTCATATCTTCAATCATTAGGGGAGAGTCTGTTCAAGAAAAACAAGCAAATCTTCATCCCATTTATAGTTGTGTTACATGACTCACCCCCGATAGTAATCCCCAAGAAAGGGCAAATAATGAGAAAAAAATTTTGTGCTTATGTAGAAAACATTGTTATAAGCCCATTTTTATCTCTCAGAAATACTTGCGATGAAAGAGATGAGTACCAATCCAGACAGTTCCACCAGCAACCAAAAAGTAGAGCTCATTAAACAATGTGAACTTGTACCTGCCAATATTAAGCACAGCATAAAAAAAAAGGCACATGAGCACATAAACTTTTAGCATTTTGTCATTTTGTTATGCAAGGACTAGAAAAGAACACAGTAAAGTTCCATCTAATATCGTATCAATACTCCTTAATGCTGATATTATATGCAACATTTTCCATGCCTTACAGGCATAAAGCAAACTTAATTAAAGAAGTAATGCAGAAGCACATGCCGGCACACATATTCGCCAATATGTTTGTTTGTTTGCATGTGTGAAGCACAAGAATGACTGACAATATTTCAAAAGGTAGGCATGAAAAACTTTTCATTCTTCTCATGAAGACAGTCTCAAAACCACTCAAGATTCCAGACAAGATGCTGGTTTGCAGAAAAGCTATAGTAGCAAAAAGAGTTACCATTCTGGTAGCCTTTCATCTTTGAGGATAGGATTTTGCCATTTCTCAATTTCTTCCTCCCACCACTTATAATCTGATCAAGAGTTCAGAGCTTTAGATTTCTAGAAAGCAAACAGTCTGGAGAGCTAGAGACCAGAAAGAAATGAAAAAGATAACAATCTTAAAAAAATAAAAAAAAAGAGATTCAAGAGACTTTGCTGAACTGATTAAACTCTCCAAGCAGAAAGAACAGTGAATCTCAATGAAATATGAAACAATCAAAAACATAAAAACATACTCTTCAATGCATCATGCACCAAATTCTGAGCTGCTCTTTCAGAAGTACCATAAAATTTTGTGTATCGCCTGCAACAAAAGAAGCAATATTTAGAAAACATCTTCCATGACATTCACTAATCTATAACGTAAAGATATTTTTTAAAAAAATAAAAATAAAAAATGTGAATATCGGTTTGATGCACATTTTGGTACTTCCTTCTAAAAATCAAATAGTTGCACTTGAGTTTCATAAAATGTGACACTGTACTTTTATATAGTTGCACTTGAGTTTCATGTACTTCTATATACAAATATTATGGATTTTCTTTTTCAATCAAAACTGCATTGTTTTGGAATTTTTCCCTATTACAAAAAGTGCATTTCTATGGCATATTAAACCTCACAGCAAATTATTTGGAAAATCACAATGTAAAATACTGCATGAACAAAGCCAAATAGAGTTTCAATCTTATCATCATCATCATCATCATCATCATATCTTTATATTGACAGCGCATAGACCTCAACAATGTATAACTACAAGCATTCAATCAATTGATCATTATTTGGGTTTGGGTTTGTTACATGTCAAGTTCGTGGTCTTTTCAGACTACATGTGCAAAATTCATTCTGCTAAATTAGAAATTTCAAAACAACTGTAGATTGAAAGTTCCTCATTTGGAGAAGATGAGTTGTAGTTTATAGATATAAATCAAAGGTCTAATCCTTTGCATCGCCACAAGTTTGAAAGCAAGGATCATGGGGAAAAAACAAAAAGCAGGCACTGAAGATAAAGAAAACAGTTTATCATGGATTTACCTATGGTATGAGCTTCCCTTGGAAAATTTTATCTTTGGTGATGACCATGCAAGAGCAAATGCAACAGTACACTTTCCATGAGGTTCTACCCATGTGGATGCAGAAACTGCAGCACAAACTGTCTCCCCAGGTGATGAAGCCATGCTTGGCCCACAATTAAAGTTCTCCCGATCAAATTGTCCCTCCTTAAGATGCAGAAATCAAGTCAAAATCAAACAGTTAATCCAAGAAATGCAGGAACAGATATAACGCCACTTGTTTTACACATTGGCTGATGTAAAAGATTGACAATGAACTTAAGACAGTATTGCACAACAAGGAGCTCAGAAACAGTCATTTTGCAAATGATTTTCAGGAGTGCCTAGAATCGGCTTTTGATGTGTAAATAAGCTGAGAAAGCTGAGTTTATCCATTTGCAAGCAAGACTTAGTCTCAATTAGTTAAAGCTCAAAAGAAATCTAGCCTCTCTTGTTGAAGCTTGGCTCAGCTGTGTTATAACCAAGCTTAAGCTTAGTTTCAAAAGCAAAATGAGCCCCAAAAGAGAAGGATGAGGAAGCTATTTATGCAAATAATGATAACAGCATATTATTTGCATAATTTATATAGTTGTCTCCAGCCTGTTAAGACCCCAGTTGCAAGACAAGATATGAGATTTGTCTTAGATCCCCCACTGGAAGTATGGAATCTCAATGTGGGTCTATATGAACTTGGGCTCTCAAACCTCAATGGCTAGCTTTTGAGGTGTGATTCTCCCAAGTTCATAACACAGCCCCACAGCCCCTTCGCTAGTCCCATGCAGGGAATGCAGGATTGGTCCAACTGCTTCCTATCCTCGGGGCCAGATCTATATTATAGCTTTGCCGGTGTAAAAAGATTGACAATAAAATAAAGAAATAAAAAAATAAATTGCTAGCTTTGTCCCTGCATGCAATATCGACCAACAAAAGTACAAAGAACTAACCTGCGCCATTTTACCCCACATATCCTTTGCTGTGATACAACTTGTGTCAGACAGCCCAAAGAATGGGAGAACAGTCACATTTACATTCTGTGTTTCACATGCAGCTATTGCAAAGGTAACTGGAGGATTACCCTTAGCAGTCCTGCAACATTCGCATTACCATTAGAAATGTTTCAAATCTAGTTATAACATCAACAGCCTCATAATTAATAGTTAAAATGACAGAGAATAAGACAGACTGAATTCCATAAGTTCCACATGGCTGTTCAAGTTTCCAAAAAAAATATCAATTCCCACGACATGCAATGTGGAAGCAAACTCTATGTTCTAAGCAAGAGGTCTGAAGGAAAGAATGAATTGTTCGCAGACACATTGTCAAACTACCTACATCCAATAATATGGGCTCTTTTTTCCAGTTTTAACCCATGTTTACATGGCTTGCCAAAGGCAATGATGATAGTATAACAGAAGTGCAAGCGGGGCTGCAGGAACAGGCAGCCATCTAATTTTTTGGCACCAAACAAACAGAAATATTCATATCCCATGCTTAAAAAAGTCCTCCTAGTCCATAAATCCAAAGAACAGCTAGTGATTAAAATTTATACTTCTCCAATTTGCACAGCATTACAGACCATCATCCATTTTCAATCAACCCTACAGTCATCCAGGACACTCACATCATCCCGTGATAGAAGAACCGAAACACACCTCAGTATAAGGTGCTTAATGCAGTGATTCCAACATTTTCTTTCAAAGAAGACACCTATATACAGTAGATAGTAAAGCTTCCACAGGTCGTAGCGGTACTAAATCTAATTTTTAGACATAGCCATGACATTTTCATGCATATCTCATCTTCATTGCCTCATATTATTTGAATTTTTCATGTTTTCCCCTCTTCAAGCCGACACATAATAACTTTATCATAAATTTTTTATCTAAGTTACAACCTTCACCTTCACCTTAACCTTCATCTTATGACTAATGTATCAAAGTATTTTGAGGAAGTTCGACCATATATCTTCTGATACAGAAGCTGTTTGTAACCTTCCATGGCAAGAGGTGCCATTATTTCCTCTCTTTTTTCCATTAATTATGCTGTTATGCCCTCAATTTCCAGGACGCATGCACCAGACTTTTGTTTGATCTATTTCTTGTTATGAACTCAATGAAGACAAACCATAAAATTGCATTGGTTTCAATCAAGAAGACAAACAAATCATCTCTGGGATATGGCTTCTACTGTCTACAGGTTTTTTTATTGAAATCGTACCATTTTAAGCTTTGACTTTATTATTTTTAAAGTACATCATGCAAACACATAATCATCCTCACCTCCCCCCCCCCCTAGACGACATGCCACCAGACTTTTGTTTGATCCACTATTTCTTGTATGAACTCAACATGAAGACAAACGCATTAAAATTGCATTGGTTTCAATCAAGGAAAGACAACACAAATCATTCTCTGGGATATGCCGCTTTAACTGTCTACAGGTTTTTTATTATTGAAATCGTACCATTTTAAGCTTTGACCTTTATTATTTTTTAAAGTACAGTCATGCAAACACATAATCATCCTCACCTCCCCCCCCCCTTCCTCTTCTTCTCCTCGCCTGCTATTTTCCAGTGACTTGTGAGTTTGTGCACCCCCCCCCCCCTTCCTCTTCTTCTCCTCGCCTGCTATTTCCAGTGACTTGTGAGTTTGTGCATAGACATATGACCATTTATCTTATTTTCATCTTCATCTCCAAGCTTCATTTTCCATAAGCACCGCCTTATATGATCATTTATCTTATTCTCCTGGCATACATCATCTCCATTTCACTTTGTTTCGGATTTTTTTCCTTTCTTATTTTCTAGAAAAAATAAGTAAATGGAGGATAGGTATACCACTTCAATTTCACTCCCTAAAACTCTGAAACGACCAAGAGAAATATGCAAACCAACCGTCATATATAGCTATAAAGGTTTGATGACTTGCTTGTGATGTAGAAGTACTCCAGAGACTCCGTCTTCACCTCTGTTAAAGAAAATAGAACATGTCAATATACATTAATATACATTGATAAAAGAAACAAAGGACTGTTATGATATATACTAACACGAATGGCTCATTCACATGATCTCCTGACAAGTGTGAGAGTCCTCCAATTGAATTCTGCACAAATCATACATTGACTTAATAGTCAATGAACTGTGACATATACAGATGGACAGAGCATAAAATTGGTTAAATGAAAAGAAAACTCACCGCCCATGTAAAGAGAAGGCTAACTTTCGCCCTTTCCTTCCCAGTGTTCACCAACTACAGCAGAAAGAAAAATATTGCAGTCTCGTGAGAATGACTTCATAAATTCATGTGCTTAAGGAAATAGATAACCGAATGACTTCATAAATTCACGTGTTTAAGGAAACAGATAGCCCAATCACAACATCTCAATTCTAAGATGCAGGCATGATCAGACGGTTCAACTCCTTGCCAATTATTACTAAATTAATAAAAAATGTAATGGACTAAATTCAATTCTATTACAAATTGAGGAGAAAATCAGAATGTTAAGAGTTCCTTTTATTTTATAGTTCAATTTAGTTCAGAAATTGACAATCAAAAGCTAAGACGAGAAAAGAATGAAAAAAAAAAAATGAAGAAAATAAATGTTTTGAGTGCTTCCTGCCAAAAAATTTTGCACGCACGCGACACACCGGCGCGCGCGCACACACAGATACAGATACACACACAGAGAGACAGGCGCATGCGCGCACACACACATATATATTTTTTCTATTAGTATTTAGAATGACAAAAATCATAATAATATGACAACTTGATATGACTAATTTACAGCATTTTCCTAAATAATGAAACTTAAAACAAATAATACAATGCAATATAATTTAATTTAATATATATGTGCATGTATATAATTGCATGATTACATTATAAAAGAATTTAGCAAAAAAAAAACATAAATTTGGAATAAGAGCCGGATGAATCTATGAACAAAGAGTTGTAATGACATAAAATTTACAATAAATGTATAGAGTAATTAGAACAATCAATTCTCAAATTTACCATTTACTTGTTCAGTAGACATAGATAAGAACAATCAATTCCCTAATTTATTATACCTTGAGAACTAAAGACTTCCAAACTTTAGTACCAGACCAAAATCTCATCCTTCCTGATTTTTAGGTTCCCATGGAAGTTTAAGCCTAGCCTTTAACTTATCTAAAATAACAACAAAAATCTTTTAAAAAGTTTCAGGACTCGTAATTCTACCTCAGATGAGTGAATAAATAAATAAATATATCAAATTAATTGCTCAGGGAATATAATGCAGTAGTAAGTGACAACAACAGCAAAACAACCGCTTCTCCTACTCCAAACTTTATCAAACCACCAGTACTATAACTCAAATTAAAAATCTTCATTTCAAAGGAAAGAAAAAAATCAAAACAAGAGAATATAGGGATGTAAAAATAACATTTCTGCATACCTTGCATCGGGTTCAAGTCCTAAACTTATGCATAACTTCTGATTAGATGCTTAAAAATCAATAGTTTGAAACTCTTTCCTTATGTTACAAAGATTCATGTCATTTATGCAAATCTGATGCTAGAAGTTGAGAGAACATACTGTATAGACAAAAACGGCAGTAGGAAGACTGCTGTCTCTGTAATTATGAGGTATGAATGGCGATATTTGTCTACAAGAGACTTTCAATTCAGGGTCTGGTTCACCTGAAAGGCAAGAAACCAGCATTAGAAGAATACTTAAAGAAATGCATTAGTTTATTGCAAAATAGAAATAATAAACTAGAAGAATACCATCATATATTGTCCATGACCTAGGAAATAGCGCATGATATGTCGAATGCTGACCACTTAAATTCCAGCCCCATGACGATATACCCTGATCACCAGCTTTGCTGTGAAAAGTTATACCAAATTTAGGATAAGAATCTCCTCTACCCAATTCTCGAAGTTTAATTCCAAAAAACATAGTTCTGTAAACACCCTATTATATAACACAATTAATACATGAATTTTTCATGAAGATCCACAACATCTTCGTCTTACCCTAAACCTTCATGTTGCCCTGGAGCCAAAACTGAAGCATACTTCTTATTTCCTCCATCTCGAGATATAAAAATCTGCCGTAAGAAGAAGAACAAGAAGAAGAAGAAGAAGAAGAAGAATCAGATTATCATGAGTGAATTCAACTATTCAAGTTCCAAATATGCAAAGCCATAAATCATCCACTACCAGGTGAAAGAGAGATGGAGACTCTCATAAAGGGGACCATCATTACAGAGACAAAGAGCAAAATAAATAATTTATTACAATGTATTGCATAGATTGCCATATATTCTCACCAACAGCCCCATGAACAACAATTTTGTGAGAGAATCTAGAAATATTGGTTCAATTATCTTTACTGGAAGGCAACCACTTTTCCAAGCTTGGAAGTTTTCGACATTAATTATACATGACAGCTGTAAAACCAGCCATTCTAAGTGTTTCAGGGTACTGGTTACTGAAATTGCAACATGTACTAGACTAGAGCATAACAATAATAGTTCCAAGTTCTTCCTACTCTTTAAAGCATCGTCACGAGTAATAGAAAGTCACAAATTAGATTTTGACTTTGTAAAGTAAAGACCAGTTACTTCCCAAGTAGCAAGAAATGGTGTGCTCCCTGTTACTCATTAGCACAATGTAGTAAAAGGGGTATGACAAGGCACTAAACAGATACGTAGAAATACTATTTGCAGAACAAATTATAGACTGCAAGAAAAATTGATTTTTGCTGAGGAGAAATTTACTGTGCTGTACAGCGACCTATTGTATGCAAAATTCCACGTAAGTACTTCAATGAGTAACCCGCAGTCCATTCAATAACGACACTCAGAAATAATATATAACATAACTGCCCAAACAGATATAACCACATCAATAAACAGAAAAGCATAAAGCAAGTAGATGGGCGTTCAAGTGCAGAGCTTTACAGAGAACTGATTGGCCATGACAGGTGAAGCATCACATATACCCGGTACAATTTGCCACTGCCTGAACTCACCTCTGAAACCTCTAGATATGCTTCCACTTCTGTATTTCAAGGGAAGAATAATAATAATATCTAAGAGACAAACTAAAGAAAATTGTAAAAAGAACTGAAGCATCAAATCTGCCCTTAACATACCCCATTCCTCCAAGTGGGACCCCTTGAGATGCTGATGGCTTGCACCTTCCCGGCGTGAAGGGATCTATCGGTGCTTTCTACAGAACAAGGCAGGTACAACTTTAATTATGCAGCTAATTTTCAACGCATACCAAATATATGTGCTTTTCTACGAACCAAGGCAGGTACAATTTTAATATGCAGCTAATTCAACAACCAAAATATATATATATATATATATATATATATATATATATATATATATAGAGAGAGAGAGAGCAGAGAGAGAGAGAGAGAGAGGCAATCTCCATGTAAAAAAAAAAAAAAATTGAGAGTTACCCTTCCATAAGATGCCTCTTCCCTGACATAGGACCACAGCCGTATACCCAGTCGAACCTAATATTTTGATTTCAAGAGCCAACTAAAAAGAGTGAGAAACAAGGAAGGAAACAATTGAAAGAGAAATCTGTACATTGAAAACATGGAATAACTGAACTTCTCTAAAACCACTTCAAACATACTAAAAAGACCATCCCACCATTTTTATTGCTTCCTTGAATGTAACACTGAATTCCTTGAGAATATTGGCATGGCTGTTTAATCTCCTTCTCCAGGCCTGTTGTGGTGGGGCAGCACTATCAAAATCAAACTGCAATATGAGAGGAAAAATCAGTTAAGAGTGAATACTTTCTCCAGTATCAGCAACAAAGTTCAGTACAATATTGCAAAGCAAAAAAGCAATATACCACTTAAGAGGTACAGAACAATTCAGCTATCCAACTTAACCAAGTAACAATCCGATATTTCATAGTGGGTGCTCAAGTAATTTATCTGTTTCAAGCGTCCCTATTCTGTTTAAGACTGTGCAGTGCATTGGGATCCAGCCAACAAACACAAACAAGATACTGTACCATTGCTTTTTAACTATAATTCTAGACTTTCAAGTTAAGAATTATGATAGTTTTTACTTGGAAAATCAAAGAGAAGTTCATGATGTCAATCCATTTGAAAAAAAATACTCTAATAGGACATGAAAGAAGTTGACCAACCAGAAAATATTTTATATCTGAAAGACTTCGTTTGAAACACACACAGGACAAAAAAATGTCTCAATCTACGAGATTAACAGGTGAATTTTGCCAAGACATAACCAATGCGCTTCAGTAAATTTCAGAATTACATAACTATAAAGAAACTATCTAATCTAATAAGCCTATCCAAATAATGATTTTCCATTCAAGAAGTTAGTATTAATCAAGGATAAGTTGATCAACGTCAAATAAATTTATGAGCGGGGGAGAGACGGATCGTCGGTTTGACTTCATAAAGGAAACAAAAAGAAAGAAAAGAAAGAACATAAGAGAAGACAGAATATTGAAAAAAAAAAAAAATTCAACGTGCATCTGGTTATGCGACTTATAATCTTATCTTCGAACCGTACAACATTTTTTTCTTTTTCTTTTCCCTTCGTAAATTTTCTCAGCAAACAAACAGAGCAATCAAAAACTGAAAAGGGCCGAGAGAAAGAGGGAGCTTACTAGTTGCAAAGTAGTTCTGCTGACATACTCCTCAGGCGGCCATGAATTCTTTCTACAGTGAAACAAATTGGTAGTAACCATCTTGACTACTTCCTGATTTCTCTTCCTCTTAATCTCTAAAACAAACTCAAACTTTATAACTCTATATAACTTCCCTTACAAAACTATACTTCCTGATTTCTCTTCCTCTTAATCTATTTCTCTTCCTCTTAATCTCTAAAACAAACTCAAACTTTATAACTCTATATAACTTCCCTTACAAAACTATACTTCCTGATTTCTCTTCCTCTTAATCTCTAAAACAAAATCAAATTTTACAACTCTATATAACTTCCCTTACAAAATTATACTTACAAGTATCTTCTTCTTCTTCAAAACTGATAAAATCAAACACAAACTCCCTTCGCCTCTAAACAACAACAAACTACAGTGTGTACCAAAATTCAAGTAAACCTCACTATCAACAACAACAAAGCCCAAAACTGAAAGCTTGCTTTCCTTCAAAGATCCACTCCCTCTCAATGCTCTACATGGATGAGAGATCGACCGCAATACGCCGAGTCAGTAAATAAGGATCGGATTTCTCGAAGTCCGCATCATCAGAAAATGGGAAACAAAAAATATTAGATTTCTCGATTTTGATTGGTTAATCCTAAAAATAGAAAATATCTGAAAATTTAAATTTGCTGGTATTGCGGTGTTGCGGTGTTGCTGTGGCGTGGCGTGCACAGGATCAGCCGCCTGGACCCTTGAGTGCCAGCAAGCAACGCCGTCTCTGCAATCGCCAGGTGGTGTAGAATTACTATTTAAAGAAAACTGAAGAGCAAAATAGCAGCGGTGACTTCTTTTCTCTCTTTATTCTCTAACGAGATAATAGAGAAACAGACATGTGATGTTGGGTGCTTAATGCTAATGGATTGTTGATTAGCTGGTTTGCAGTTTGTACGCGATCCGGATTTTGTTAATTTAATTGTTAATTAATTATTAACTTTTAGTTTGATTTTTCTTTAGGATTTAAAAAGATAAATCGGTTCTAGAAAATTAATGAGTTGCGGGCTGCTGTAGTTTACGGTCTGTTTCTTTTTTTTAAATGAAATAAAAGATCAGTGGATTTTAATATTTATTTAATTTAGTTTTTTTTAAATTACATATAAATGATTATTTAAATAACACATTAAACAAACTAACTATTTTTAAATAATATGATTATAATAACATTGCAAATTACATGCATTCTAGATAAATTTTGTTCACAACATCAATATGGATTAATTTTATTTATACGTCAATTTATAAATGAAAATTAGATGATGTTAGATTATTTTCCGGTAGGGATGTGAACATCATGTGTACCGTAAAAGAATTATTGACACATTAAATTAAAAATTCTAGAACACAAAGACCTTGAAGAAGCAAAAGGATATTAAACTAATAAAAATTGATGATTCCCAAAACCAAATCGCTAAGCATGGAATATTTGAGTTTGACGACTGCCATTAATTTAACAATTGTATTCTTATTTTCCTAATAATAGAATCAACAATAATACTTTCAACAGCTGTAAAGAATTTATAAAATGAATAATTACTTAGATAAAAATAAAACATCAAGCAAATAAAAAGTAAACAATTTATTACTACTGGTTTTAAATTTTTTGTATTTTTTTTTTTCACCGCCCGCGGCGCGCCAACCGATTTGGACTCGTAAGAGGTACAAAGCCACCGACGAAAAGGACAATAAAGCCGTTAGACAGAGCCATAAATAAAAGAAGGAAAGTGCAGTAATACTAATACATCGAAGAAAGCTGCTTTTTAAAAACAAGACTAACTGTGTTAGTCATTCTCTTTTGGCTCCTCCTTTCATCTGTCAACTGTTTGTGATCTCACTGATTGGATCGAAAATGCCAGGTGGAGAGCTTCGATTTTTATAGCTGTTCGTTTGTGATTCGCTTTCCCATAAATAAAAAAAATGAAAATAAGAACTAAGAAGCAGTTAATGAGTGCCGTGATTATCCATTAAAAGGACACTTGGATTAGAGTATTAGACTCTCATACCTTTTTTTCAGAAAAAAAAAAAAAAAAAGATTAGATCAGGAAGGATTATTGGCAATATTAGTCTAAGTAGTAAATAGTTAAGACAGTTAAGATAAAATGCAATGTTTCGCAACATATTGTCATTCATATAGTGTTATATTTTTTATTTATACGTTACTCTAACAGCTATTAAAGTAATCAATTTTGTAAATTGGTTCAAAGGCTTTAAGACTAAGAGATCCCAATTTTAAATCCATAAACTATGTTGAAATCAACACATAAGTTCTGATATTTCAAGAATTAACTTTGAAGTTTTTAATTTTTATTCCGTGAAAAAAAAGCTTTGGGTCAAAATATAAAAGAAAAATACATTGAATTGAATCTCTATTATCCTTAAATCGTACAACTTCCAAAAAAAAAAAAAAAAAAAAAGAAAAATACATTGAATGAATCCTCTATTATCCTTAAATCGTACAACTTCAAAAAAAAAAAAAAAAAAAAAAAAAAGATCATTATTACATCCCTAATCTTTAGATTAAATTATGTTCTTGATGTATTTTTAAAGATTGTAGGGATTTCTGTTTATAACCATTGATGCTCTTCATCATTTATAACCATATTTTTATTCACCATTTTTTGGAATATCTTGAAGAATTTAGGAATTTATTTTTGTTCACCATAAAAAATTAGAAATGCAATAGTTATTTTTTAAAAGTATTAAGATTGCATATTAATTTTGATATAATTTAGAGACTCGTCTATATTTTTCTATGGCAATTAATGGCAAAAAAACATAATTTGTAATCAAAATGATCTAAAATTGTAACGGATACAAAAATTAGGGATCTCGAAATTAATCTTAAAAGTTGCAGCACTTATGTATCGATTTCGATATAATTTAAGAACCCTAAATTATTTCTCCAAAATTGGAAGTAATAATCTCTATACCAAGGGTTTTGTAGTAATTTATAATTATTTTAAAAATTAGGGCATTGTAAAAATATCTATATACCATAATATCTTTCGTAAATATTGTAACAGTACCTTTTTACCGCAGTATTTTAAAAAAATTAAATTATTAATTAGTATACGATTTAGTATATAATTCACTTTTATATTTTTCATGAAAATCTGATATCATATGTTCAACTTTTAATTTGACTTATTAAATATTTCAATTTATAATTTTTTATATATTAAATATTTTAATTTGATTCATTAAATGACAAGTTCTTATTTAATTAGTCAACAACTTAACAAAACTTTAATTAGTCAACAAGTCAACAAATAATATAATGACTAATGACTACAACAAGTCTTTAAAGAAACAAAGAAGTATTTATATTTCTCTATGATGGTTTACAGGATTCAGTTCAAATTGTTTTACATCTTCTGAGTCAGGTTCACTAACTTCAGAGTTAGAAGTTTCTTCTAAATTATTTATATTTCTTGATGTTTGAGGAGTGTCAGGTGCTACTTGTTGAGTAATTTCTGAACGAACCTCAAGTTTACTTAATTGATCTTTTAATTTGTTTACAAATTCATTTTGACTGGTTTTAGACATTTGATATGGTTTAAAAGTATGAGATGGAATTTTTTCGTTATCGTTTACAGTATCATCTATTATTTGTTTTGCTTTTATTAAATCCGCACTACTTAATTTATTTTGTTTAAGTAAAACTTTACAAAATTTATATGTATGTCCATTTTTACCACAATGATAACAAGTGACAGTTGTATAATCCTTTTTAGGTTTATATTTTAGTTGGTGCTGGGATGTGTGACAAGGTTTGAATATTGCTGTTGTAAAGTCTTTTAATTCGCTAGTGATTTTATCTAATTCTTTATTTAATGGATCTAAATATTTATCGAGTTTATTTAATTCTTTATGTATTCTAGACAATGGGTTCTTTTGACACACTTTAGATGTATGTCCGTGTTGGTGACAAGTATAACACGTTAAATCTTTATACGATTTTTTAATCGATTTTTTCTTATGTTTTTTAGTAAATATAGATGTTTCTGGTGGAGTACTGGGACTAATTAATTTTGATTCTAGACTCTTAGCTCCTACTATAATTGGATTGAAACGTTTATTAGAACTATGTTCTTTAATTAATTTATACCAATCAAAGAATTTAATGCCATTTTGAATATTAATTTTATACTCTAAATATTCATGTTTTAATTCTTCAAAAGTATAAGTTTTTAATATCTGTTTCATTTTTATTAATTTTTTTATTTTTGAGATTTCATTTATTAATTCTTTTTCTATTTCATCTTTTCTTTCTGTTTTAACTTCTTTTTTCTTTCTTTTTCTTTTTTACCTGCTTTACTTTGGATTTTTATGATATCGCTGTCTTTACTTTCGTCACTAGATGAACTAGATGATGAGGAGATTGCTTTGATGAAGATGATGATAATACAATTTTACGTTTGCCTTTATGATGCGTCGTTTTGGAGGATTTACTGGAGGACGAACCTTGGGCTTTACTGGGCTGATTTGAGCTGGTAGAGAGTTGTTCAAACATCTCTTGACAGATCAATTTATATTCTTCTGGTGTTTTAACTGCAGCTAACTGGGCCTGACATTGGGCTTTTTGGATACCGAACTGGGGGTTATCCTGGATAGCTAATGTTTGGGCATAGGTCAGAGCTGGTTTAGATGGGCTGGATAATTTATTGCGGATCCATTGACTAATTTTATGTTCAGTGGTGGAATTCTTGAATGATCCCCACCATTTTATTTTCATTTTATTTTAATGTCTTTTTACTATCAAAGGAATTTGACTTCCCTGGAAGCATAACTATAATCAATACCATGAATATACCCATGGAGTGAAAAAGGTCATGCTTATATAGGTTTTAATATGTATGATATGTTTATTAATTTATAAATATTAAAATCAACTTGATATCTGAGTCTGAGTAATTAAACGGTCCTTTCTCTCTTTTGTTGGTATCAGAGCCTGAGGATTTAGAACTGCTAATTGGTATACATATAAAGACTCCAATTTATCATATATCATAGGTTATCTTGATATGGTTCAACTGAACTATACACCTAGGATCTGACAAAATATCGTATCCCACGCTTTTTTATAATCAAAATAATTATAACTCATATTATATTTATGTAATCCTTTAAATTTTACTGGCTTTGTATGTTGATTCTGAAGTAAAATTCATTATTGTTTAAAACTGATCATCATCTTTAAAAATAAGTACTGTTTATCAAATAAGTATATACTACGGAATTTTACTAGAAATACAAAGATACTGTATAATACAAAAATATTTTATTCGGATGAACTGGTTGTTGAATCTAATTCATCAATTAAAAAACCCAATCCTCAGGATAATAGTTTTTCATAATTTGCCAAGGATGGTAATGATATATCCATCCTCAACTTCGATTTCAAACAATAAATTTTTACAAACCAATTTATGTATACTACAGTAGAATTTATATTGGATTTTGCAAAATCACAGCCATCAACGGATTGATAACTCTTTTACTGTCTACCCCGTTTGAGACAGAGTAGCCGTATCATGAGCGGAATTACGATCGCTTAGATTTAGAAGAACATACCTGGGTCCTCTGTGGAAGAGGATGCCATACTCTGCAGGGCTTAATAGACTTTTCGGGAGATTGAGAAAGTTCCTCAATCCATTTTTTTAAAGACTTTACGGAGGATGTGGTTTTAGTGTTAGGTTTAGGTCTTTCAGAGTGCTCAAAAAGAGCTTTAGTTGGGGAAGCCGGAATCTTGTTTAATTTCTTTCCCTTTATCCTTCTTTCTTCATGTCTGTAAGAATTCTCTATTTAAGAAAGTCTGGAATATATATCAACATTGCCTTTAAATA